TTGACATCCAGCTTGTACTTCTTACCAAATTCCTCACAGAAGTACTTCACCAGCATCTCGTCAAAGTCCTTCCCTCCCAACTCTGGATCACAGGCTGTGGACAGGATCTATGAGACGAGGAGAGGAGGCAGAGAGAGAGGAGTGAAGCACTGATACACAGCCCCTCATACACTGATGGACAGTTTACAGTGCACTGATTTGGCTACACACCTTGAGTTTGCCCTTATTAAAGGCACACACTGATGTCTGGAATCCAGAGTGGCCCAGGTCCACAAACACCACGTTCCTGGCCTTCTCCTCAGGAGCAGGGAGATCCTGTTTGTAGATCCCATACGCTAAAGCCACTGTGAGGAAAATTGTTTAATTATTAATTAAGTAAATAATTAATATGATTTCAAAGTGTGCGTTTCAATGTCTAATGTTAGCCAGAGTGGCAGCTAATATTCGCAAAAATGCAAATAATTGCCCAAGCACAACCCAAAACATACGCGCACAGACCTGCAGTTGTTTCATTCATCAGCCTCAGGCAGTTGAGACCAGCAATCTGAGCAGCATCTACAACTGATCTCCTCTCAGCATCAGTGTAGTAGCAGGGAACCTGGATACAATAGAAACACATTTGAAATACATTTTAGTCTTAAATATTTGTATTGTTAATCAAACAACTTGATTAGACATCAATGTGCAAACTAATCACGTTCAAGGAGAGCTTCAAAAAGTGCAAGGTCATATGTCAAACTTACAGACACAACACAATCTGCCACAGGCTTCTTAAGTGCATTCTCTGCCGTCTCCTTGAGCTTGGTCAGCAGCATGGCAGTGACTTGTTCAATGCTGAACACCTTCTCTTCCTCCATGTACATCACCTGTAATAACAGTTACCTTGTCAGACAGGAGATGATTTCATTGCATTACATTTTGCTTCTTGGATGCCTCCAAATGACTGTCAATCTGACAACTATCACATTTCCTAACAAGCACAGTTTGACTCATCATCGTTACTTTACACTGCCAGCAGCTTTCAGGTACTATAGTCTCTCATTCTCCATTAACTGGGTCCATAATACTTTCACTGTACACTGTACTTTAAAGGCTACATTTCAATTGTCAGCTTGAGATGACACAGACATTTCAACTTCATGAAGGACACATGCTGCTTTCTAAGTGCAATAACAATATTCTCATCTAACGCCTGAGGGCCTGCACCAGACTGACAATGGAGAGAAGATAAATTAAACAAGAGAAAAATGAATTTAGTCATCCAAGCACAATAGGATTGCATATAATATTCTAAAAAAAGGATATCCATAAATCTGCCCATTCACTGTATCTTTCTGTGAAACGGGGGGGGGGGGGGGGGGGCAGATTAAAAGGGCTGAGTTAAAAATCGATTCATCAATGCATTGCAATTCAATACTGAATTACAAAATCATGAAATCGATTCTATCCATTGTAATGAAGCCCCAGTCCTGTGAGGGGCACTGTGGGTGCCGCCATACTATGATTTGCGTTGTACTGTACAGTTGCTTTACTTGACTGAACAACGTGTTTTGGAGTCAATTTGTTCTAAACCAATAGAAATAATTCACACGTGTTGTTTAATAAATGTCAGAAGGTACTGTAATTGATTTTTGGAGTATTTCTGTCATCTTTGTGTTTAACTGAATCGATATCGAAGCATATTGACGGATATCAAATCGTCATCGCATTGTGACCCAAAGAATCAAAATTGAATTGAATTGTGAGGTTCTTGTCAATACCCAGTTGTCCATAGAGCGCATGAAGTGAGCTGAATCAACTTCTGTGTAAATTGGGGAGCTGATGGGAAAGGACAGAGCTCTTTGTTTCAAAGGCAAACATAATAAAAACATTGTTTTTAAGGCATAACTAAAAATCTCTTCTAGGACTATTGTAAATTTAATTCAAGTTCTCAATTGATCAATGAACATGTCTTTTAATGTACAGATGCTTTAGTAGATCGTTGATTTTCTTTGCTGTAGGGAGGAAAGTTAATGTAAATTGAACATTTTTTGAAGTCAGTCATAGGTTATATATTTATTTTAAAGGAAATAATAATTCTCATCAAGTGTGTCCAGGCCATGTCTGTACACTCTACAAATGTACAAACTACAAATGAATAAACATTTGAAGAAATCAATATAAAAGGCAATAGTACATCAACGTCTTCTTACCTTGATGCCAGTTGTTCCTGCCGGCATTTGTGCGATGTCGTAGACCAAACTGTTTTTGAGGCGATGCACAAAGGGATCTGAGAAGGCCCTGCCATGAAACCTCTTGAAACCTTGGACTGTATTCTTGCAGTTTGTGACGACCTGTTTAAAAAAAAAACACACAATTTGGAAAATGGTGGATTCATGCTCTGAGAACTGTGTGTGGTTTGAATTTAGTGTGTGCTGAATCCATACCCAGTACTGGACATACTCATACTCAATGCATTATTGAAACATTCATCCCCCATTTGTTATGTTTTTTTATTTTTATTCCATATTTAGTGTTAACTGATCATCATGAAAACATACCTGGCTTTTAGCAGCTGCACCAATAGATCGATTCCTGGGTCCGAAAGAAACGCATGCTCTAGAAACAAACAAATATCGAATTAGTGAAAAGCCAGTAATACAGCTGTAGTTGTTGATCTAGTGTGACTATATTTTTGGTGTTGGAATACATCCACTGAATGCTTATAAACCGGTTTCATCATTGAACCATGGTCTGAAAATAAAGTAACATTAGATTGAGGTGGTCGTTTTGACAGCCACGATCCGGCCTCCTCCCATCATGCGCTCATTCACGCCTGCAGTTAAAAAAAAAAAAACACATCCCTCACCTGACCGGGTAAGTCAGGTGCTCGTTTTAAGATTATTTCGACGATATAATTGTAATCACACCAAGGAGGACTAACTGCATCAAACGCGATGCCCTCAAGATGTCTTTATACTCACAATGGATTAGCTCCAGCTAGCATTCGCCTTAGCAAATCACATGCCGTTTCCTGTTGTGAAACAGACTAGCGTGCTAACTTAGCTACCTAGCCAGGTTAGCTTCATTCAGTATTATGGGTAAACAAAAGAGGATTCATTTACGTCCAATGCCCACTATCAGGGCTGGTAACGTAAAACAAATGACACCAAATGATAGTTCTGACAGTACTTACGGTGTACATCGGTCGCTGTATTCATTAGCGACAGTTTCAATCCCTCCGGCTCTGGCTACCGCTACATAGCAGTTCAAGAACCCGACGTCAAATCCGACTACTGACATCTCGACTAGCTAACTGAACAGGTTACAGAGCAGTAATTACACGGAAGAACAGAAATATAGTTCAGTGCTAATAAAAAATGACAGCAACAGCTACAGTGGATTTCGGTCAGCGGACAGTGATACACCCTTGTTCTTGTTCCATGAAGCTGGGTAGCAGCATGCGGTACGCCGGCTGATGCGTGAGACGTTCAGGAATCTTCTGTCTGTCATACGGACCAATAGCGTCCCACCGCAGAGCTTCAGGAGGCTGCTGCCGTGCGCCACCCACAGGCAAGGAAAAATACAGCAGACACATTCTGCAGACACATATTGATGAATGCCCTTTAGTTGACGGGCCATTTAAAATACCATTATCCCTCCTTATACTCCAAATCTGCTCACTTCCAAATGGTATAACTCTTTTTTTTTTCTCCAGATCTTTTAGTTTCTTACATTTAAAAAAAATATATTTGTTCCTCTTGGTCTCAGCTCTTGTTGTTGGGTTCTTATAATGGTTCTTGTGACGGTCGGGTTATACATGTCTGTTGGGTATTGTGCACTTTGGGTTCTTTTCTGTTGAATTGTATTTAATTATTTTTAGTATTTTGCATCTGTTATGTTCTTATTGTTGTTAATGTTTTTCTGTGTTTGGTTTAGTTTGCTTTGTTCTTGTTTTTGCTGTTTGTCAAAGCACTTTGTAAACCTGTGTTTTTAAAAAGTGCTATATAAATAAAGTTATTATTATTATTATTATTTAACAACCTGATTTCCTCCTGGAGTTAATACAGTATTTCTGATTCTTTCTGTAGCCTTCTTTAGAATAACATCTTTATTTTCAATGCACAAGTAAAATGTCATTTAAAAAAAGCCGCTCTCACATTTAGTGATTCAGAAGCAAGAGTATGAAACACTAAATATAATGTAAAAAATGCATATTGTTTAATTAAGATAAGATAAAGATAAGATATACTTTATTCATCCCAGCAGGGAAATGTAGGTGTTCCAGCAGCCAGCATACATACAAACACACAACACAACACACATATACATACATATCCCACCCATACAAAAAAACCATGAGCCCACAATACAGTTTGATATATGATATATGCAACTCAGGCTAAAGTTTAAAAGTTTAAATGTCTTCTGTCCTTACTTAAAGGGGAGTCGTTATAAAGTGCAATTGCAGGAGGTAAAATTATATTATAAAAATAACTGTAATAAATGCATGTCACATATATTGATACATCACATTTAACATAAAAGCACTAGCTACAACCGCCATCACTATATCAATGCCTAATATATTGAATGAATGTCTCGAACTAATATGATCATTAAGTTTCATTTGACTTAATTCATCTCTTAAAACTATTTACCGGTAATCATTTTCAGTATTTATCCCTCCACCCATTATCTTTGTCAGTAACACACCCAAGTCCCAAGGTGGTATCGTCATCTTCTTGCCATTATTCAATCCATAACCCCAAACTAAACAATTTTAAATTTTCAAGAAAACAAAATGAGTTATCACATTTGAGATATTGGATCATCTAATGGTGTGGTCTGTGCTTAGGAGATGGCTAAAAAAGGGATATATTTTTGGTTGCTATGTCCTCCAATTTCAGCACTGCATTTGTACTATCATTAAATCATGACATTGATCTGACCCCCATCCTCTGGGACACATAAAACCATGGAAATGTGGCTAGATTACAGCAATAAACACAGATTTCACATACATATTTAAATCTTTATTGGTGAAACATACAGAGTTGGATTTAATAACAGAGAGGGCAGCTTTCAGGAAAGTGGCAGGAGCTCATTCATCATTTTCATACTGAGCAGGGTTCTTCCTCTTGCCCTGCTGATGGACACTGTTGCCCCAGGTGTATGTCAGGTACATGAGAGCCATCGCTGCAAAAGCAAGATTATTTGAGACATCAGCACAAGCATCATCACTATTAAACTACAACTAGATGTGTAACATGGATTTTATGAATGCGAAAACATTAAAAATACATTCGAAACTAGCTGGTGAAATAGGATTTCAAATTTTTTCATTCAAAATTACATTTATATGTAAAACAAATAAAGTAAAAAAAATAAATAAGGGTATTGTCTGAATTTTGTCAAATACTAGTCATTTCACACATTAAAATTGCATGTAGGCAATTGCACAATGTGTGAATGCAAACAGCCAATATTATACCCAGAATTTTTCCTGCCAGCTCCTAGTAAATTGTCCACATCATTCTGGGTGAGCCGATGCGAGAATGCACTCAATGCAGCAGGAAATATTCAGGAAAATTCACCATGAGTCAATGGGAGGGGGTGATGATGTTTACAGTACATCCTTTGACTTTTGCAATCTATATGCACGTAATGAAACTGCTCCATGATGTTGTTGTTCGCCAGTATGTTCTCATCTCTTTCATTAATACCGCCAATATGTTGAACTACACGTAGATTAAAAGGCAAAACTGTCATCATAGTGTCAGACTCTGTTGCTATACTCGCCATTTCTGCTGCTTTTTACGCCAATGTCCTGACTACTGGCACAGGGTTATGTGCATAGCTTACACTGTTTGCTCCAACCTAGTTAGCTCAAACATACCTTTTTAAAAGTATTTTCTTATTCAACCCTTCTTACAAAATACTTCTCTTTTAATCTTTTAGTGCAAAAGATTTTGGGAACCACCAATGAATGTTTTACCTGTAACTGCACTCAATTTAAATACTGATGTTTGTAATTGTAAAAACTTACGAGGGGCAACTTTGAAGAAAGAGGCTGTGAACCTTCTCCACACGTTGGGGATTCCCTTGGAGAAGTAGTTGGGGAAAGCCCTCTGCTCAAAGGGGGACAGACTGTATGTGATCACATGCCTGATCTTGGCCAAGTCTCCGAAGTGTTTACCCATGTTCACCAGAGAGCCGATCTGAGGAAACAACAACAAAGTAATGAGCATATAATAAAAATACAAAAACAATATGCTGTTTGCAATCAATCCAAATAATCTATTTAGGAAATGTATCCAGGGACACTTACACCAGTCTGTTTTTTTATTTAAAAGGGCACTTGTAGGTTTGTTTTTTAAATGAAAAGGCACTCTATGACTATAAAATAAACACCAATTATTTCTATCTGAACTATAAATACTTTGAAACAGCATACCAAATCTGCTTGAATCTTTTGGGAAAATGAAAATGGGCTGACTCTTATGTGCTTATCTTTTCTTGGTTGTATTTTACTTGGAATATTTGGCCGGTCATTATGGAATAATATCTTGATGAGATGTATTCATTTTAGCTGTTATTTATTAACTTTTACTCTATTTATTGTTTAAAGTATCTGAATCTACAATTTTAAAAACTAATCTCGGAGCATAAATGTTACATTCATGACACAAATTTCTCCTAAATTAGCTTAACGTGTAGCTTATTTATTTATTTAAATATATATATATATATATTAACCGACAATGAAATACTATAAACATGACAAAAAGACTAGTTAACAGTGGTAGATAAATGTTAGCATTCTCAGCTAGCTCCAGGAGGCTAACCAGCCTCCAAGGGACAAACAGTCCTTGAAACGCCTCTACGACCGTGAGCGATGACAGTTTGATTTAAAGACACCAAATGTATGCCACAAGTATTACAATATAGAGGATATGTCTCAAAAATGTTGACAATATTACCTATTGGAAGCCAAAAATTGAGGTTTCTATCGTGACATTGAAGCTTACCGTACTGCTGCTCAACAGTGTCTGCTGATAGACTTCCGGTGTCCTTCCTTTACTTTGAAGCGCCGGTCGGCTGCCAACACTAAAGGACAGTACCGCCGCCTATCGGACTGGAGTTAGGCCATTCAAAGACAGGGAAAGAAATATTTAATTTTAAAACAAGCCCCAGTTCAACCACAGTTTTTTTCCACAGGTCTTAAAAACATGAGTGGTAGGGTAGTGTCCATGTTGTAAATGGATATACTGGTTTACAGCACAAAGATGACATACCCAGAAAATGCACTCAGAAATTGAGCCTATAGTGGAGAAGCAATGGCCACTGGGCCTTGAGCTGTAAATCCTAGTGACTGAAACTTTTGAAAAACTTGACAACTTAGGTTTATGTATTATTGCCAGCTCACCTGTTTCGGCTTACATTTATTCTTAATGTAAACATGACTCATCAGTCAATTAACTTTTCCATATGTACCATACAAACTTCTTCAGACGTTCATTATCAGATAAATCTCCAACTGGGTCCAACACACTAACTGAAAATTGAGCCAGATAATAATATGCATTTCAGGGCCATTTTTCCACTGCGGGACTAAAAATGTACTTTTTCCTCCTTTAGTGCAAAAGACTTTGAACCAGCAGTTTGAAAACAATATTGTTGCATAATTTTTTTTTTAATTTTCCAACTTTCCAGAGAATTTGTCGAAACATTTCATTCTTTTGAGTATCCCTAAGCTGAGCACAGACACACAGTGAAATCATTTGCATAAATAGACATGGCAGGCATTTAGTCACACTTAACCAGTACAATTCATAAGTATGCAGTCAGTTCATTCATATGAGATCACGTAGTGACCAGAAGTAATAAATACACACTGAAACCTTGACAACTTTCATTCTGGACATTATATAGACAAGTGCACGTTCAGAGCTCTGTCTGTTAGAGTTAGTGACTGCTTTTTCACATTTGGTCCTGGACAGGGTTACTTAAAACGTAACAATTGTGTTAAATTAAAGAATATAAGGAGACCACCCACCCAATATAAATTAACAAAAAAAAAAAAGAACTTAAAAAAAATAATACTAAATAATACAACGCACATATCAACAATATGTTGCCAACAGTATAGTTTAAAGAATAGGATGAACTGACACCCTCTCTTGTCATTCAATAACGAAAGGAAAATACATGTAATGTTTTTACATATTTACATTAGTATAAAATACTTTAAGTAAACACATTTGATTAAGTAAACACACCTGCTCCAGATCAAACTTTTTTTCATGCACAACGACTTTATAAACTCCTGAAATCACTGAGCCTGGTCAGAGAATCGGGTCCACCTATGACCACTGTTGAGGAGGTTTATGTTGATGTTTGATATGGCCTTTAAAAAAGAAGAACATTGAGAAGACATTTAGGCAGCTGGCTTAGCGACATGTGCACCTGGTTGCCACCATGTCTGTAATCTCCTTGTAGACATAGGAGCCGTCCTTCTCAAAGATCATGACACTCAAGGGGCTGTAGTGGGACGGCACACATGAGGGTCGGGGCACGGAGGAGTCGAGCTTCTCATAGATGAGGTTCTGCACCATCGTGTGGCGGGGTGAGCCGTAGATGAAGCCCACAGTATTTGGGCAGATGCCTCTGCAGTACCTGGGGTTGTACTTTGGTGGGTAAACAATCCACTGATCTAGTTTGAGCTGGCTGAATCGCACCCTGAAATCGTACAAGGCACAGTCACTGGTTGGGAATTCAGAGCTGGGAAGAAGTTCAGGCAAATGGAAATCCACACTTTTTTCACCTCTCTTGCTCTTTGGAGACTCTCTCTTCCACCTTCTTTTCCGCCCGATCCTCTGTTCTGGTCTGTAAGCCCTCTGCTGTGGAAGTGTGTTAGCTGCAGTGGCTGGCTTTGGACCTTCTTTGGCGCTGACCAGTAACCTCTGGTGGGCGATGTTGCTGGCGTCATTGAGATATAGAAGCAGAAGAGGAGAACCCAGGGTGAACTTATATGGGCCATTGCTCCCTTCACCTCTGACTGTTTCTTCCTCTGGGCAGGTGACGTTGATGAGCAGGTGTAATGTTTTTCTTTGTATCCGTAAGATGGGCTGGAGAAACGAGGTCACGTCGACCTCCACCCAGTTTCCCGTCCTGTCTGTGCTGGCTGTGAGGTTTACAGATAGTTGGGCAGCGGGACACAGCTGACACTGGTCGGAGAGCTCCTGCTCCTTGACACTCAGGTAGCACACAGCGTTGACAGGTGATGCAAGGTCTTGGTCTAAATTGTAGAGCAGGGTTGACTTCAGGAGCCGTTCTTTTCTTCTTACTTGATCAAGGCTGTAGGAAAGATCCTGCTTGAAATTCTCTGAAGGATAATAAGAGAAAACATGAGCTACAGTAAAACATCTGCATCAGAGGTCATGACATAAATGTGCATATAACTGAACATGAAATTATTTTACAGAAAGTATTACTGTTTTCTGCCTAATGTCAATTGAAATCCAACTTTGGATGTTCCCCATTTTAGTTAAAGAAATATACTTTGTAGTGTTGAGAATAATTTCAATGCTAACTTGGTAAAAAAACGGGACCCTCACAACAAATGGTACAATTACAGCAATTCACAAGAGGACCTATTTGTTACTTGTTTGATATATATTTCCTAATTTTCAGTTATTTCCACAAAACATACAACTAGGCACAACATTGTTTACCTTTAATCCAACTTCCATGTTTCAATCCAAAATCTAAAACCTCTGAGAGCACCAAAAGATGAGCCGCTTAATGTTGTGTACTGAAATGTCCTACATATAAAATCCTAGTTCCAAACCTATACAGCATCATTACAACCCCATGATTAAAGGCTTCAATTGATATTGTTGGACTCACTGTGCCTTGTGTACCTTTGTATCTTTCAAGTTTAAGCAGTAGCCTACTTAAACAAAAGAGAACTAGAAAAAAGTAGTAGACACATTACAGCTTTATGATGTAAACAATTAGACCATACACAACTCTTTTCAGCACCATATGTGCAAAAGTAGTGAATTTTGCCAAACAAATTAGCAGTTTATTGCTAGACAGTTTGAGCAAATTTGGGGCTTTTATACTGAAGTTCTGGGATATTGAAGAAGTTGATCATCTAGCCGTGCCCATGCAAGGAGGCTACAGCATAATAAAGTGACTGACCTATTGAGTACTTTTTTTTTTTTAGCAGAAAAAACATTTCAACTGCTTTTCACTATAGGCTAGACATTAACCAACCCTTTTCTAGTAAGTAAGCCTACCTTTCTCACATCCGTTTTTATTTTCATAATGTATACATTAGCCACCATCCTTAGACACACATACAAAAGTAAGAATACATTTGAGTATCTTAGTTCATTCAATTTTGCCTATGTTGATCTCTTTGCCATGGACCATAAGGACTGTGACTGTTGTGTATAAATGAACCATATTGTCAATCTGCAGTCAGTCTGTTTCCCTTTCTCACCTTTTTGTGCCAGACATTCATCTTGAGGTTTGATCAATCGGACAGTGTTGTAGAATTTATTCTTGCCCAAACTCCGCTGTACTCTTGGAGACTTCTTGTAAACCTCTGTCAGATATTTGATGTACTTTTGCTCAGGTTTCATCTTTTTCCTCAGGTCTGGGTTCCACCTCGACCCTCCGTGCTCTGACAGCGATTTGAGCAGCGGGGAGAGGATGGTGCCATAAGGGTACGTCAAGTCGCCCAGATTGTGTAGCACACTGGAAGCTCCCAGAGAAGACCTCACCAACGGGGAGCAACAGGTTAACACCAGCAGCAAGGCAAACGTGCGAAAATAACAAAGAACAGCTGACATCAGCATTTGTTTTTCCATTATAAACAACGAAACTGTTCAAAACTTAAAGAGACTCTCGGTGAGAGCTCGAGGTCAACAGGACCACGCACGTGCAACTGCTGATCAAAACACCCAGGTGTTTGCAATCAGCTCTTTCAATCATAGCTTTTAATGTAACTGGTAAAAGCCCATATTACAAGAGAACTGGCAATTTATTCAGTGTCACAATACGACATTACGAAAACAGCAAGAGGCTGGTTTTGTTTTTGCCAGGTAAGAGAAGCGTTCATGCTAGTTTAATAAAGCTTAAAGTTGTACATTTGTTTATTTTGTAAACAAACCTGACAACGTCCGGTCAGTTAAAAAAAAATAAAAAATAGGATTCTTTCTTTGTCTGCTTTTGTCTGCGAAGTTTGTTTGTATCTATTGATAATCTAAAAAAATATCTGGTGAGTAATTTTTTTTGGGAAACTTGCTAGTTTATAAAGAAGGCTCAGCCAACATTTAAACTAAAATGTTCCTTCATACATATTAATGTGTCACTAAGGTTAATACGTTCTGTAAAGGTAGGTATTACAGGTTGTAAAATATCAGCTAATTCCAGCAATGAAACTGATAATGGTCACACTTAGAATTGGCTAAACTTATAGAGTAGACTATACGTCAGCTATTGGTCAAATCAGTAGCCTATATAGCTTTGGAAAAAAATAAACTTACTGCTAATTATATGTTATCTGTCTTTTGATTGGCTATTGGTTTCCGTCCAGATGTGACGGTGTCTCACGATTGTAGGCTATATGGCATTTTATTTGTGAAATGATGATTTAAATTGGAGTTACTGTAACTCCTGACCACCAGAGGGCAGACATGTAATTCTCATAAATAACTGCATTGTTTTAATCAGATCATTTTTATAGCTAAATAAATAAAGGGACACAAAAATCTGTAGATAATTTTATATATTTTTTTTGTTTTGGGTAATTTTGTGATTGGTATAATTGGGTAGTAAGCTTTACATTATAAGATCCACTGACATAGTATAAATAAAATTAGCTAGGGGACTGGTAGATGTTATAATGTACCATGTTTGGAAGACTTATGCAGACAGTGCTTTCTAGGACTAATTGTATTTGTGAATATACTGAAAATTACAAATATAATAATAATAATAATAATACTAATACATTTTATTTATAAGCGCTTTTAAAAACTCAAAGACACTTTACAATAGTTAAAACATAAAGAACAGCACAGTAAGGACAGACTAACGGACATCGCAGCATTACACACAAATCATAAAGATAACAACAATAAAAAAAAAAATACCAACAACTTGAGTATGACTCAACTGTTTAAAGTGTATATTAAGTTTCTTCTTATCTTTGGCTGATGGTACAGTACGTCCGACCTGTGGAGAGCTATACACAGTTGCAGTTCTTAACTTGGTTTTAGCACCAGGGTACAGTAACAATCAACCCACTAACACAGTTTATCAGCTCTCAGTATGTTCTTATTGCTGTACAATGTTATTAATTCACATTATTTTAATTTTCAAATAAAGAATTTCAAAAAGTGATGAAAACATCCATAATAATAAATATACCTGAGGTCAGTACAGTGTTTGTTGCAGCAGCCATAAAATTTAGTATTCTATTTATTTTAAGGTATAAATTCATTCAATTAAATTATACTTGAATGACATATCTTATAAAATATCACAACATTTGAGTCAGTTGTACTTGTTTTTCAAATTATGAACCCCCCCCAACACCCCATTATTATTACAATTGATTTAACTTTCAACTGTGCTCTTGTGATCTTTTCATCAGAATATTGAGATGAACAGTTAGAGTGGATGTTTAAGATATTTTTACCCGAAGAAAAGTTAGCCTATATAAAAGAAAAGAAAAAGGAAGTCCACCTCCATGCACCAACCAATTCAATGTCCATATGAATAATAAGAATCCTCTAAGGACCTTTAATACACAGGCAGAAAACATTGTCAATCAGCTTTTAAATAAATTAAAGAAGACTAAAACTAAAATTCATTGGATCATCACTTTTGTGGATTTTTCTGTTGGTAATGAAAGATCTGAAGTCAAAGTCTTTTGTCTTTGTGTATTTTATTGCATATAGTAAAGAGTTCTTTTGCAAAAGAGGTAATCAGCTACAAAAGTAACATCAGTCAGAAGTGCATCAAAGATTCCCGGGGCAGTCCCGGTTGCAGAGCATATTTATACTTTCACCGGGTGTAGGTATATTACATATACATGAGTGTGTAGGTATATTACATATACATGAGTGTGTAGGTATATTACATATACATGAGTAATACATCGTCATTGGTTTCAGCTTGTCCTAGTGACTACGCCTTCTGCTAGTTTGCTTGGTGATTTATCTAACACCAACAGAAACTCCTTTGTCCGGAGGGCACTGATTTAGGATCATGCTGTACTCAGATCCTGAGGAGTGTTCCTGTTGGAGACACAGACCAAGGCCATACAAAGAAACAGTTTCTAATTGCTAAATGACGCACAAACATCCTAATCTTTTAAGTTCAAACGAAGACGACAGACAGATAGTATTTTTCCACTACATCACTTTTCAACCTTCAAAAATGTATCTAACCCAGTGATACTATTAAAACTGAGGTGGTCAAGAAAGAGTTGGATAACATCACCTGAAGAAAAGCTGATTACTCTTCCATACACACAGAATGAGCTTAACACATCAGTCTCAGTGTTTTCAAGGGTTTAAAACTGTTAATAATGCAATTAATACATTGATCTGCATCACATTATACTGTCTAAAAGTAGATATTTTAGAATAAGAATAATTAACCATTTTCTTCATTGTCTAATAGGAAATTCTACAAGAGCTGGACTAAACTTCTGTACAGTTGGACTCTTTGAAGACTGATAACTCAGTCATAATTATTTCAAGAAGACATACAAAAGCGTTTTTGAAGCAGATTTCCCTTCATGATCCCCAGATGTCCTTCAGTATAAAAAATATGTTGAGGTGAGATTTGACACATACTGTAGCTTACATAGTGTCGGTGAGTGCAGCCGTCCTTTGTCATGATCGTTATGCAAGCTGCTTCTTTTCCAGCTAACAAGACAATGGACATTGTTCTGGCACTGTTTTGCTCATTGTCTCAAACTCTTAAAGATAGTTTTGGTCTGGGTCAGCTTAGGATACAAAGAGTGTTTCTGTACTTCACATAAAGTGCAGATTTATGTTATTCACATGTCTGTAGAAAGATGACTTATTCATTCACAACGACCATTCAGTAGGTTCAAATCCACGTAATGTTTGTTTCTTTAACATTTTAATTGACACCACACAGTAAAATGTAACGTTTGACCTAGTTTTAAAGGCGTAAGAAATTATGTAAAACCAGTGTTTCTGATCAATATCAAAAGATTTATACTAGGGGTTCTTAGGGTCAGTGCCTAACATGCCCTTCTGATTTATATTTTACCATCAGTCCAAAGAGTTTGGACTGCCTAGTCAAACAAAGGAGGGCCTCATCATCTATTACAGCTCAAGTATACAAAGAGATTAATAAGGGAGACATTCCAACGCTCAGTCGAGGGGCCTGCTTTGAATAACTGGCCCCATAAAGGCCCCCTCTGATTTAATCAATGCTGAAGACTTTTCAAACTGTGAAACCTATTTCTTTCCAAAATTGCATCTAACATTCTATCTTTAACATATTTCATTTTTCTGATACCAATACTTTGTTGGACACTGAATCATTAAGCACATTCTGCATCAGTAACAAAAAAAACCTTGTTTTACACCGTATTTCCTCAAACTTTGAGGTCAAGAATTAAAGGTTAATTTATAACAAAAAAAAGAATTTATTGGGTAAAGATAATATCTCTATCTTAAACCTTGTTTTATTACTAAGAAAATACATGTTTTTTGGTAATATCCATTGTTAATAGTGTTAAACTTAAGGTTAAAAAAGAATAATAAATACCACTTATAAACATCACATGCAATAGTGTTCACTTTACGAGATATTTGGTGAATTAGCCAAATGTGGGACACTGCCTAATGTGGGACACCTAAACACAAGGTGGGTGTAGGTCTTCCTACAACAAATGAAAGTCAATAAAACTAAGGGTTAACACAAGTTGTGATGTCATGTGATCAAAATAACATGACTTCTCAAATGTCCAATCAAAGATTAGAATGATACCATCTTCAAAAAGGAAGTACACAGCGTGAAGACCACCCAAAGGTCAGGGACATACTGTTTAGACAAATTTAATGTTAAGGATATACATTTCTTATAAATAAAACAATCCTACTTTTTTTTTTATCTGGATGTTTTTTATGATATGCTTGTTCATCAAAAAATATTACGGTATATTATGTTGTAAATAAACTCTATATTTGTTATTTTAAATTAAAATTTCCTTTGTGACTTGCCTAATGTGGGACAGTTTTTTGCATTCAAATATGCCTGTTATGATTGTATGAGTTTCCTGTTTTGTGGAGCTATTCCTTGATTTATTGGTCGTTTTTTCCATGCTGAATGACATATTGTTAAGAAACCTTAGTACATCTCTGGTAAAGATACAATTAAATTGGTTATGTTGCATATTTCTATGTGGAAAAACACAGTTTTGAAGAGTTGACAATCTAGTCAACAAAATAGTATTGGTGTTAGTTGGCTAAGCATTTCTTTTATTCAGGACAGACGTATGGAATAGAAAATATTTTAACATTTTAACATACTAACATTGCAATTCTTTAAATAAATTAATGTATAAAATGTTCATTACATTCTGCTTGCTCTGCATGTCAGATATGATGATATAATAGCCTATTGTCTTTCTACTAAATGCATCAAAACTATTATTGTCCTTTTTTAGAGTTTTGTAACACCAATAACATTGTAAGTGGTAAAATTACAGAACATTGGATTGCACATTTTAGACTTGAGTGTGACAGAATTGAGAGGTTTTCATACTTGAATTAAGGTGATTTAGGCCTTTTAACATAGACTTTCCAGTGTCCCACATTTAGAACAGCACTGTCCCACATTAGGAAATGCAGATTGTCCGAGACAATTAGGCACTAAGACTACTGATATGTATACTATTTCTTTAATGAGTGTGATAACTGGATTTTCTCTTTGGGTTTGATTAGGGGACATCCTGGGGATTTCAGAGTTGTACTGGGTGTGGATTTAATATATAGCTTCATCCCAGAAGTCTAAAATGCAAAAATTGTCCCACAGGCTAATTCACCCTGCAATACTGAGAAACTACACATCTGTCATTTGTTATGGTCTATATATATAAACTCAAATATTGTAATCTCCTATATTATAGTTTTAATCTCAACACTTATTTTGTGGTCTGTGTCATCCTCACCAGTCCTGAGCATACTTAGGAATTGTCTTTTGTTTCTTCCCCATGTGAGGCTGGAATAGTTTACTAATAGTGTTAAAGCTCTTCGGCTGCCCTCTGTAGTCTTCATCCTCCGTCTTCTCCTTATACTTGCTCTGCTGCCGTCCTCCTAAAAGTGCTCTGACCTCAGCTGACACCCCTTTGCCCAGGTAGTGAAGGGCCTTCTTACCATCATTATCTCTTTCATTTACATTGGCTCCATAACTTTGCACAAGCAGAACCATCACTTCAGTGTGGCCGTGTATGGCTGCAATATGTAGAGGTGTGTACCCTCCGTGTGTTTTGCTGTTGATGTTCACATAAGTGCCCTTTTTCCTTGAGATATTCAAGAGCTTGTGTATCATCTCGCTGTTGCCGTCCTTTGCAGCCCAGTGGAGAGCTGTGAACCCTGAAATGAAGTCTTTCTTCTGTGCTAACCGTGTGTCCTGCAGCAGCAGACCATGGATCTGTCCCCACAGCCCTGTAGCACACTTCACCAACCACTCGTGTGCAAGTGGCTCTAGAGGCACACACTCAGAATACTTAACATCATCACCCTGCCTAGTGGTCTTGTCTTCGGACCTCACATGAGGAAAAACTTGGGGCTGCGTGTCCTCTGCCTGTCTGTTTTTCAAACACAGGGGGTCACTTTCAGCACCCTTCTCGCAAGCTCTAAATTTCAGATTTTGCACTGATGGTTTGAAAACTTTGCTCACCAACGTGTTAGACTGATGCACTTGGGGGTATAATCCATCCCGAGCCTCTGGGCCAGGGTCTCTCTGTGGGGATTTAACCGCTATGACAGCAAACACAGCTCCAGAATTCCTCGCTTTGCTCCCCTGATCTCCAGAGATATTCAGGACTTTTAAGGTGGTTGTTTCCGCACATGTATGCTTGGCGTCTCTATAATTGTTGCCATTTGAGTGTGCAGGAAAGCACATGTTATTGTTCTCAATGTCCGAATAAATTCTTCTGGCCGACTCTGCTCGATGTGTAGGGCTAATGTGCGTAAAGCTCGTATTCTGGCTTGTGAAACTATCATCCATCTGCGACGCATCGTGCGCTACCTCCTTTACAAAGTCCTGATACCTTTTCTTCACCACCACAAACTTCACCCCTTCGATCTGTTTCACCACAGCGACGCTGTTCACCAACTTCTTGAAAAGGTCTCTATTGTTCTGCTTTTCAGCGGGATCACTGCAGCTGATCTCACTCCTGAAATTGTTCACCAGCTCCGCGTTCTTCGCTTTGCCTCCCTGCTCCAGCAAAAAAGACAAAATCGATTCTTGGGTCAAAGCCATTTCGATAAAAATATATATATATATATATATAACGATAGTCCTATGTCGGATAGAAACAAAAATAGAAGAAGAAAAAAAATAGAAAAATCCGAGTGGGGATTATCTCGTTGCTCTGCGTAGCCTACTCCCCCCTCTTTTGTCCTCCACCAACCTGCTGCTTCCGGCGCCTCTTCAAATAAAACACCCAGTTTTTATTATAACGACCATCCTCGTTAAAGGCTGACAGTGGGCAGAGCTCACTGAACGTTTTACATCCTGATTACTGGATCAATGCCCCAGCTGCTGAATAAAATGATGAAGACTGACTGTAGGCCCTATTTCTTTTCATTTACAGGCTATACAGCATCTCTTATAGCTATTGTATGAGTCCTGTATGATTCTTATTAATTAGGCTACATTGATTGTATTATTTAGTCATCATTACATAGGCTAAATTATAAAGGGATTTCTCCTGAACAGTAGGCTAAGGCTTAATGTTGAATATGTTAACCTGTGTGTCACACTTTTCATTAACATAAAATATTGTAGGCCTACTTAAAGGCGGGGTTGGTAATTTTCTCCAGTTACACTTTTTAAGATTTTGGTTGCAGTTGTAAGCCTGTAAAACTTCCACCAATATCTGAGGTAGGCTACCAATGTGATGATGGAGTTAACTATCAGTTTGTCGCCATTGGTGAGCAGTAAAATAGTAAACAAAACAAAAAAATACATGTATAATGATAAAGTTTAATGAATTTAATTTACTGATGAGGTCCGCTTCAGGAGTAGGGAAGAGGATTCGGGCCACTGAAAAAAAAATAGTTCTGACTTTTTTTAAATTCTGACTTTGATTTCAGAATTCTGACTTTTTTTTCAGAGCCAGAATTCTGAGAAAAATGTCAGAATTCCAAGATTAAAGTCAGTATTCTGAGATTAAAGTCAGTATTATGAGGTTAAAGTCAGTATTCTGAGATTAAAGTCAGTATTCTGAAATTAAAGTCAGAATTCTGAAATTAAAGTCAGTATTCTGAGATTAAAGTCAGAATTCTGAGATTAAAGTCAGTATTCTGAGATTAAAGTCAGTATTCTGAGATTAAAGTCAGTATTCTGAGATTAAAGTCAGTATTCTGAAATTAAAGTCAGAATTCCGAAATTAAAGTCAGTATTCTGAAATTAAAGTCAGAATTCCGAAATTAAAGTCAGTATTCCGAAATTAAAGTCAGTATTCTGAGATTAAAGTCAGTATTCTGAAATTAAAGTCAGTATTCTGAGATTAAAGTCAGTATTCTGAAATTAAAGTCAGAATTCTGAAATTAAAGTCAGTATTCTGAAATTAAAGTCAGAATTCCAAGATTAAAGTCAGTATTCTGAAATTAAAGTCAGTATTCTGAGATTAAAGTCAGAATTCTGAGATTAAAGTCAGAATTCTGAAATTAAAGTCAGTATTCTGAGATTAAAGTCAGAATTCCAAGATTAAAGTCAGTATTCTGAAATTAAAGTCAGAATTCCAAGATTAAAGTCAGTATTCTGAAATTAAAGTCAGTATTCTGAGATTAAAGTCAGAATTCCAAGATTAAAGTCAGAATTCTGAAATTAAAGTCAGTATTCTGAGATTAAAGTCAGAATCCTAAAAAATAGTCAGAACCAAAAAATGTTTTTTCAGTGGCTTAATCCTTTTCCGTAATAACTTCATATTTGGATTATATAGAATATATTCTCTGAAATGCAGGAGAGGTTAATACTGAGCTCTTGTTATGTCGCCCTCCAGCCACGAGGGGGTGTTGCCTCCAAGTGGCCTTATTGGATAGCAGCGCGACTCTGTTAGATGCTATGGTTAGATGTGAGGAGCTGGCTGCTGAACATAGTATTCCTGAACACAGACACTTGTGACGATGGCGGCCAATGAGGTTGATGTTTTCGCAGTAAGTATGGTGATGTGTTGTCTGCGGACCTGCGATAATGACTTGTTATTGTAAGAGTAGACATAGAAATTAGACTCGCTAAATACTCGCTTTCAGGTGTGTTAGAGAAAGAAGATGGTGATGAGCTGTGGCTCGGGAATGCAGCAGGATAGTGGTTAAGCTGCGGTCTATTCGGTAATGAAATGAGATATCGTTCCCGGCCAGGCACGCAAGAAAAAGCGCACTTCGTCATCCGACTGTGCTGCATGAAACAGCACGGTGTGCACCTGACTGTTTACAATGTCTACACCTTTGACAGGTGCACACGGGAGAGAAAGGACCGTGCGTTTGCATGAATCACTGGACAGCAGGCTGCAGTAGACCCAAGTTAAGAGGATGAAAATAAGTAGCAGCCTCTTCATGTGGGATCTAGCTCTAGATTGCTCAGCGAAAATGTTAATGGATCAGCCAAACGTGTAATTCGTGTCAATCTCTTGTACCATAGCTTTCATTTTGTGTCTGCTATAGGTAGGCATGTGCTGTTTACAGGTTGCATTGCAAACGACGGAAGACCCTGTTAAGTTGAGGATGAATGTGTGTGTGTGTATAAAGAGGAGTTATGGGTACCAGGGCAGCTAGCAGCTTGGATTTCCTCCATCCTGTGAAATAACATCTAAAGAAAGAGCTCTTTGTGTGTGTGTGTGTGTGTGTGTGTGTGTGTGTGTGTGTGTGTGTGTGTGTGTGTGTGTGTGTGTGTGTGTGTGTGTGTGTGTGTGTGTGTGTGTGTGTGTGTGTGTGTGTGTGTGTGTGTGTGTGTGTGTGTGTGTGTGTGTGTGTGTGAGAGAAAGAGAGGGACAGAAACGGATGATTGTTTTGTTGAACACATCCTGGTCCTCATGTTGAGCCACTTGCACGATGCCAGAATCTCAGCATCTCCCTGCTATAGAAGTAATGAACCATTTCCCAGCAATCACAGTCAGGGGAAAGTTTGAAATGTAATGCACAGCAGCCTGTGTGTGTTTGCAGGGTTATATTAATCAGAAAAGTGGAAAGTGTTGATAAAGTGTTCGATTGAGAAATGTGAGGAGTTAATCAAATAACATATTAGCTTGAATAAAGTCTCACTCTCCAAACATGAGTTGAATGATCCTGACTGTTTTCCAAATACCTCAGAATGAAGAAAAGCGAAACCTGGAGCTCAGAGGCCACGTGGGCTTTGACAGTCTCCCTGATCAGTTGGTCAGCAAGTCAGTTGCTCAGGGATTCTGCTTCAACATCCTCTGCGTAGGTACGTATGAAGGGAGGAAAAGTTTATAATCCAAATTTCGAGCCATCAAAGTAACATGCTCTATCATGGAATTAGTCTTTCCCTATATCTGTTCACCACAAGTTATTTCCTCTCTCTATCTTTTTAAGGTGAAACTGGAATTGGCAAGTCCACATTAATGAACACACTTTTCAATACAATATTTGAAAATGAGGAAATCAGCCACTATGAGAAAGAGGTGCAGCTACGCCCACAAACGTACAATCTGCAGGAGAGCAATGTGAACCTGAAGCTGACCGTTGTTCACACTGTAGGGTTTGGAGACCAGCTCAACAAAGAGGAAAGGTAGAGATTCTTGTGTAACCCCTTGAGTGCTATAAAGACTGAAAAAAGGACGAGATGTCAGAAAAATAAAATCTGTTATCAAAATAAATAGTAAGTGAAGCAGAAGTCTTCATTACTGTTTTTATACAAACTACTAAAACAAAAGTACAAGTTAGTAATAGAATTGTCTCTTGGTCAGAACAGCACCAGCTACTAATCTTGTCCCCCTCTTTGCTCTGGAAGTTCAGCCAATTAACACACTGTTTCTGGCGTGGGCTTTGGGAGGGGAGAAGGGAATGTGGGATTGACTGGTAGAACTAATTCAATGTCAATAGACATCTGAGAGCTCCAACAGCAGGGAGTACAACATTTGAATGTTTTGAGTTTCAGAGTTTGTAACTGGGATACTAACGTGTCTCTCAAACATGAATGACAGTAATGAGACATTAAATGTTCATACATGTAATAACGCTCATCTCATATTTTAACTCCTGTTTTTCTGCACAGCTTTAAACCCATTCTTGAGTATATTGATGCCCAGTTTGAAAAGTATCTTGAAGAGGAGCTGAAAATTAAACGCTCCCTGTTTAACTGCCATGACACAAGAATCCACATCTGCCTGTATTTCATCTCACCCAATGGACATTCCCTGAAGTCCCTGGACCTCGTTACAATGAAGAAATTGGACAGCAAGGTGACCAAAGAATGCGGCAATGTGAATTTCAGCTTTTATTGTTTCTTGATCCTCAGTCCTTCACTCATATTATTTTTGAATGCAGGTGAACATCATCCCTGTTATTGCAAAGGCAGACACGGTATCCAAGAGTGAACTGGACAAATTAAAGATCAAGATAATGAGCGAGCTGGTCAGTAATGGAGTACAAATATATCAGTTCCCCACAGAGGATGAAGCTGTCGCAGAGATCAACTCCTCCATGAATGTGAGTCAGAAACACAGATGTCTTTTGAAATATTAGGGTTTTCCCCACTACTAATTAAGGTGATCAATTTATATGAGGTAGTATAGTAGTAATATTCTTCAAATGTAAAATGGTGCGATTATAATGCTACAGATAAGGTTGGACATGTAGCTGAAATAATAAATAGCACATTTTAACTGAAATGCAGGTTGTTTTCATCGGAATGAAATCCTTAATAATAAAATACTAGTTTTATTCATAAATGTCATTTTATAGTCATTACAACATCAGCAGTGCTTTATGTTCCCTTTATGTTACAGACACATCTACCCTTTGCTGTGGTCGGAAGTGTAGAAGATGTCAAAGTTGGCAACAAAATGGTGAAAGCGAGGCTGTACCCCTGGGGTTCAGTACAGGGTGAGTGCACTGATTTGGTTCGACAAGCATCATAAAAAGTAGGGCTGTTTAGTCACATGCCTGCTGCTGATCTATTAATAGTTTTTTTATTTCAGACATACACATAATATCCCGACTTTCTGTGTTTATGAGCCCTTGTATAACAGCTGTTATTTACAATTCCCACTAAGCGCAAAAGGTTAAATAACCATGATTGTTTTTTTGTTTTTTTTTCAGTCGAAAATGAAAGTCATTGCGATTTTGTAAAGCTGAGGGAGATGCTGCTGCGTGTGAACATGGAGGATCTCCGAGAGCAGACACATGCTCGACATTATGAGCTCTACCGCCGCTGCAAGCTGGAAGAGATGGGCTTCAAGGACACAGACCCGGACAGCACGTCGTTCAGGTGAGATTAGGGTTAGCCATGATGTAATGCACCTAGGCAACTTGAACCAGTGGAACTGCCCAAAAAAGCCTCAGCTCTCTTATTATTCAAAGCCATGCTGACAAGTGACTTAACCGCTTTTTTTTATATGATTTGGTAAGATGCTAATAAATAATTCTAAACTGTAGACAGCTCAGATGGGATTCATATCTCCAGGCAAGATGAGTTGACTTTGAGCATCTGTTATACAAAACCTACCAAATGCTCCGTCAGACTCGCTGTGCTTTGTTGACTTTAAGATCTGAGTTTCTTCCAATTTTTCAAATGTCAACAAAGACACACTCACACTTTTGAACAAATATACACAGGAAAAATATAATGTTATTATATAAGCATGAGGAATAAAATCAGTGTTTTGTGGGGATGGAAGGGAAACGCGAATGATACAATGAGAGTTTTAAAAAAAAAAAGATAAATTCTCATTTTATTGTTTTCTAGTTTGAGAAGTAAAAATAAAACTTTCTCCTTTTCTACCAAAAGATTAGACACTAAAGGGTAATGCTTTGTGAGTCTATTTTTAGACTGCAGTTGAATTATTTAACCTACAGTATAATTAATTGATGTCTCTTGGTATATTTTAGACTCATCTGAACCATTTTAGTGCTTTCAGAAATTCCTGTAGAGATAAGCCATCTCCTCTAAATCATTTTGCATCAAGAAAGAAGAACTTAAATAAAGTCTGGTTTAGACTTTTTAATAATGTTAAAATTGTTATGCTGCCCATTTCAAAGCAATCAACTGTGATGGAGAAAGAAGTCACTGTAGCATCTAAATACTTTAGAATAAACCCATCACAATGTGAAGGAGATAATGTGTGTGATCATTTAGAGCTAAAATCTAGTTGTTGTTTTAGGTAACATTTGAAGAAATGTATAGATTTCAGAAATAATGTTGTTTGTATGTTTTAGAGTGAGTGGAGAATATTTCTCTGTAAACCTAATGATATAAGGATATTTGATATTGATATGTCATTTAAATATTCCCAGTTGATTGATTTTTTCAAAGAGAATTTTTATTAAATGTCAGGTGAATAGCAACTATAAAACCTGTTTAGCGCTTTGATTTAGACGTGTTAGAAAATGAAAGCTAGATTTGCAGCTACAGTCATGACAGACAAATTGTTGTAAATGGAATTATTTTGTGAATGTGAAGTTCTAGATAAATAGTAGGGCTGAAGCATATAGGAAAAAAGTGACATTGCAATATCTATATTGCGATATGATTACAGGAAGTTATTCTAAATAAATGCACTGAGTTTCTTTAGGCTTAAATGTGGCATTTTAACATTTGAATCTTAATATCACAATTTATACATGAAAGTCAATTTTTTCTTAGTCCCACACTAAAGGACAAAAGGAAACGTGATGTGCAACGCTCATACTAAATAATCCGTATTAGCTTTAGCTGTAGCTGTTTGCAATGTTTCTCTTGAATCCAAAGTAAATCAAGCCTTTTTTTACCATTTCATTTTCAGTAAATGCTCTGAGGGTAGTGCATAGCTAGCTTGAGTTTGTACTGACTGCATGGAAATGGTGTGAGAGCATTTACAACGTACACATGCTGAATGAGAAAGCATTGTTTTTTTTTTTTGCATGGACACATTTTCTTATTGATTGTGATAAAACCAGACCTTTGTAATGTGTTTGTTGTGAAAGTTAATATTTTTGTGCAGCTCTAGTTAATAGAACCCATTGTTTTTTTTTTTGAGTTAATTCATTGATCCCCACCAAAGTGACATTTATGTTACAACTTTGCTAAGTATGAACCCAACAGCTGAAGCAACCAGCTCCAGAGTACTAATCTATTTCACTCAGCACATTACATTGATCTGACCTTCTATGATGATCTTCAGTCTTCAGGAGACGTACGAAGCCAAGAGGAAGGAGTTCCTTGTAGATCTGCAGCGCAAAGAGGAAGAAATGAGACAGATGTTTGTCAACAAAGTGAAGGAGACAGAAGCAGAGCTGAAAGAAAAAGAGAAAGAGGTTAGGATTGGCATCATAATACATTTCATGAACAAAATACCTGATTTGGTTTGCCTCACACTGTGCCCTGATCTCCACCATCATCACCTTTAGCTACACGAGAGGTTTGAGCAGCTAAAGCGAATGCACCAGGAAGAAAAGAAAAATCTGGAGGAGAAAAGACGAGAACTGGAGGAGGAGATGAATGCCTTCAATAGAAGAAAGGTTGCAGCAGAGACACTGATGGGACAGGCCCTCCAAGGCTGCTCACAACCATTCAAGAAGGACAAGGACAAGAAGAAGTAAGTTTACTTTTCTGCATGTGTGAATAATATTTCACTTCAAGTGGTCTCGTACATTCACCATGGTTTTCAGGGTAAGCATCAGTGTTACTCAACACTTAGGTTTGTCGATCTGCCCAAGTATAAATCGTTTGAGATCACATACATTATATTCACAAGCCAAGGTTATATTCTCTGACACAGTTTTTATAAGGAGTTGGACAGAGGAGGAGGCGTACAATGTGATTAATGAGATAGTGTTATTTTCCCAGAAGCCATGTTGGCTCAGAAACCGATACAGGGACAGACTGACAAAGGCTGCCCAGACATAGAAGGAAGGGTCACAGCCTGCATGAGAAAGCCTGATGGTTATTTCTCTGCAGGATAACCTGCCAGACTGTATCTCAGGCAGGGGCACTTCTGTTTACATTCGACTGCTCTCTCGATGCTCACACCATGTGAGACGCAGATGATACTCTGACATCCCACATAGAAAAATATGAATATCTGCAGGTGGAAACATCATAGGTCAGGATTCATTATCAATGCTCAAAAATACATACACTGTTAGAAGCCCATCATATGCTTTGAAAATGCACAATTGCAAAAGTCTGGAAAGCATTCTGGAAATCAAATACTCTTGACAAAAAATTTGAATCTGATATACGTGGCCATTTCATGGCTGTAATAATTCCATCCAATCAGTTCCCTCAGACCAAATAAAGGTTTGATGGCTCGTCTGCCTGCCTAACAGTCTAGCACGCTACCCCCAAGTATGGCAAAGAAAGGAAGTAAGATACACTTGTGTTGTTATCACTAATTCTGTGTATGATTAGAGGATGTGTTTTTGGGACGGGGCTTTAGCATATATTTCTTGACCAACATCCCAATACTGATGCATCAGAATTTCATTCATTTATCATTTGAATTTCACTGTATCTCAAAACATCCTATCCTTCCGTCTGCCACCCTCCCATTTTATTTTACTTTCTATGAGTTTTCCATATTTTGTTGTTGTCTATTTTGTCTTCTCCCTTTTCAGTTGATTTATCGGATATCCAGGAAAACCAGGAATGTCATCAGAATGGGAAAAGGAACATTACTTCCTGGCACTGTAGGTGTGGACTTAGTGTCACAGTGACCTAACGTTTGTGAGCCTAAATAATGTGATGGCTATAAGCCAGTGTTTTCATGATGGATTAAAAAGGTAGCTTTGCTTAGTGTTTTTAATTGGTCCCTAATGCTGACTGTTCTAAACACACAATCCACAAACTGTTCTTAACATGTAGTTTTTTTTGTTATCTGTTCTTGTTATGGAGGTGTGTTGGTCTCCTGGTTTAAATGTAAACTTCTAGTGAGAAACATTAAGCACTACAACAGGAGACTCTCAGTGAATGACTAATGAACGGATGATTTCGAGTTTTATAATTGGCTAAACATGCAGTAATTGTTCGTGTGTGATTGTGGATTATTGCACAAATTAAATGGTGTCCTACAGGTTTTTTTTTTGACAGAATGACAAATCTATTAATGTTTTTTTTTATTGTTGATTGTTAACGAAAGGATATCAAATGTTAATAACATCATTCCATGCAAGGGTATGGAGACAATTTTGGGATTTAGTCAACAAAATTCTGGATGGGAGTAAAATATTTGCCTCTATTTATGTTTAAATAAATGCTAAAAATGGAAAACTGAACTTGGCACCAGTTCATCTGTTGGTCAGCTTAACCCCCACCCCCATCACCACCACCACCACTTCTCTGAGCATCACATCAGTCATTTGTTTGATTTACAACATTTCATATCGCATCCTTCATGACTTACTAAAAAACATGGTTCCCTGATTTTAAACGACTGTGTCAACTCTGTTCCTATAAAATGCATAAATCATTCAAGCTTTTTTTTTTTAGCTTCAGTCAGAAGCCACAAAGAGGACATATAACAAAATGCTTACTAAACTGAATAATCATTCTTTAATTTTAAGTATTTTTTATCTTGCTAAGATTGTCAAGACACTGATCAATAAGTTGCTTGTGCTGATAAATAACATGATATTTCTTTCCTTTTCATAGCTTCTTTAGTCTACCATCCGCGTGCTCCTTAACTTCAGGAAGGAATTTGAATTAGAAGACTTTCCACCACATTAAAGGATCACAGACTAACTATCAAGCTTATTATTTTTACAATGTGAAATAACAATTTTTGTAAGCTTGCACTTACCATCCCTGGGAGTGAGTCAGCCTGCAGTCTTCCATGTCTACTAAACTCTCCTGTAAGCTTTCCAGCTGTGCTCTGTAGCATGGTCTCCGCATGGCTCCTAACTTCATTCCTACATGTATTTAAAATGTCTTTGCCAAAATTGCAGTTTTGTTCTAGATGTGATTCCTTCTTTCATCTGCCATGTTGTGCTTGTAGCTTCTGGTTGATGACAAGTTACACTGTGAGATGTATCTTCTAAAGTTACATGATATTGCTCGTTAATGTTGTACAAATGTAACAATATATTATTTAACAGCACTTTAATTCAACCATAGTTCAATTATTATCTTTGATCAGTGTGAAAGGTTCCCTATCACATTAACATATCAGCCCTCATGTTGTTTATAATAGATATATTAAGAAGTGTTTCAAAGTTTTTAACAGTGAAAACTACATATATATATATATATATACACCGTATATATACTGTTGCTACATGAGAAGCCTGGGTGTATAGACATTCAGGGTTATATCTCTTAATGTCAGTAGATCTATATTACAGGTCTGTGTGGGCCTGCTGGGAGATTTGTAAATTCTCGTGTAATAAAGACTTGCTTTATTGAAAAAGTTATTTGTTAAGTCTATAATTGAACGTTTACTCAGAAAAGAATCGGAGAGAGTACAGGTTAAAAGCTGCAATGTCAGCAGGTTCGGGTCCTTCCAGACTGTTCCAGAAAACTGCCTGTAGGCGTCCATTAAAAAGGAGAATAGACAATATAGTCCAGCATTGTCTGCCCTATGGAACAAAAAGGTAATTAAAATGTCAGGAAATCCTTAGTGATCATCTCAGTTATCTAGAAAATACACTTATAAAGTCTGTTTTCTCTGTTGTTACTCCTGTAGACTCTTTCTTGGTCTCTACTGCTGTAGCTTAGTAGCACAAAAACACAACTGTGTCTATTGATAATGTACCAAAGACTCTGTTGAATGGTTAAAAATAAAGTGATACAAATTTACAAGTATGACATTTTTTTTTTTTTGCCTTAATAATTAAATAGGAGACAGGGGACCATGGGAGGGAGTGTAGACTGTATAAAGAGTGACCCGCCTTTCCAAATCTGATTGGCTCGCTCGCCTGTAGAAGGCGGAACACAATGGTGAACGGCGAGTAAATTATCCAATAGGAATGTTGCGCTTAATACGTCATCCAACGAAGACCAATCGAAGCTCACCATGTTTGGGCATGGGCTTGGTTTTATGCCTGCCCTGATAACCAAACTTCCCTTTTCCCCATCGCCTTTCGCCAAGGGTAGGGGGGTGTGCATAGGCAAAAATTAAACTCTGCTTAAAACTTTCTTAAGTGAAAGTTCATACGTACACTTTATTGTGCTTTAAAACTTTTTACTAACGCGTATTCAAAGCGTGTCGGGGACTTTTTCCATCGCTAACTTTCACAACATTTAAGACAACGTAACTTGATCCAAGGTAAGTTTTACAAACCTTCTCCTGTCTCATATAACTCAACAGTATGTGGAACTTTTATTTTGTTTTGTTTTTTTTAACCTTAACGAATGTTGTTTTATGTCGTCGGTGTCTTAAAAGAAACTCAATGAACGCGTTAAACATTGAAAACTGATGTAGCATTGTGCTAAGCTTTAGCGGTCGTAGCTAGTGGTTACGTCTTACCTCGTCATACCACTATGAAATATATATATATATATATATTATTTTACATGAATGAGGCTTTCTTCTTTTATTAGTCACAGCCCACAGTGTCTTGTCTCATAGCCGTAGCCACTGTTTTAGTGTTTTTATTGTCACCATCAGGCTCAGTGTTAGCTCCCCGGTGGTGAAGGCTCGGACATGTCCCAACATGTCGCCGGTCCTGCACTGGCCCTGCCCTCTTATAACCCAATGTTTGTCATGAAATGTCACTGTAACCTACTTATTTTGAATCACAAGGAATATAAAATGACCTAATTGTGGAACAATTTGCATGTAATTGATAATAAGTAATTTAAAAGTCCCTGTTATGTACCCCTTCTCGTCTAGTTCAATGACAGCTGGTAGGGGAGAGCTTGTTACTTGATAGTCTACACATTTGGAAGCACTCCCATAGCTCAGATTCTCCTGTGCACTTCATAACCCACAATCCATAGCGATTATTCAACTCTCTTCTTTTATCCTGAAACAGACATATCAATTAATGTGATTGTTTAATTCAATGGGCTATATTGGTCAGCACACTGTCGTATTTGAGCATCTATACCATTCGTTGTATATAAGGACGACTAATAAAACAAATCTTTTAGGTTTAATTAAGTTACAACAAAGCCTGTGGTTACAAAGTATGACATGCATGTTTATGGTCATGCAGTTATAATGTAAAAACTTGTAATCCTTTCTGCACAGATGATTGACACAGTAACCGGACCTGGAGCACAGCCATTTGCTGTTCAGCTGAAGGCCATGACTGATCTGGAGGGCAGATACCAACCGAAACTCAGTGGCTTAAGGCTCATTGAGGGCTCCCAGGACAACGGCCTCAGAATGACTACCAGATTGAGGGAGCTGGAGGTGAAGGACCTGCTGTCTCTGACCAGGTTCTTTGGTTTCAGCTCGGACACCTTCTCACTGGCCATCAGCTTGCTAGATCGATTCCTCTCTGTAATGAAGGTATGTAAATGTGTGAAGGTATGAAAATCATGTTGGCCGCTTACAAATGGTCGAGTGATTTGTAAGCTTTATTTTCTCCCCTTTTTCTGCAGATTCAACCAAAACACCTGTCCTGTGTGGGCCTGTGCTGCTTCTACATTGCAGTGAAGTCCTCAGAAGAGGAGAAAAACGTGCCTATGGCCAACGACCTGATCCGTATCAGTCAGAATCGCTTTACAGTGTCGGATATGATGAGGATGGAGAAGATAATCATGGAGAAGCTCTACTGGAAAGTGAAGGCTCCCACAGCCCTCCGCTTTCTCCGCCTCTTTCACAGCCACATCCAGGAGCAGCTCGATGCTGAGAGGTAAGGACAGACGCCTAAATCAACCTGCAGGGCAGAACCATGACTCAACAAGATTATATTTACCCTCCTAAAATGTGTCTTCTCTTATTTGGTTTTGGAGAGTACACTAACCAAAAACATTTTATTAAAAGGCCCACAAGAGCAATCTTATTTTAAGTCATGTAGTATGTTAGACATGTGGCATGTTTTAATATTTTTGTCACTGAAATGATTTGGGCGGATTGATTTCTGATCTAGTGAGCTCTGCCTCACACCACAACTTAACTTGTATAATGACACTAAAAGCATTTTCTCTTCTACAGCAAGACGATCCTGAGCCTTGAGAGACTAGAAGCTCAACTGAAAGCCTGTCACTGCTCATTTGTCTTCTCCAAAATAAAGGTAGGCATAAAACCGGTTCAGTCAAAGTTCCAAAAGATGGCCTATTTCGAGTTGAGTTTTTTAAGACCTACCCATAAGTATTCTACCCATGTGAAATAATTTAATGTTACATTGTAATAATGTTTTGTAAGTTTCCTCAGTGTTAAGCAACGTTATTTTTAAAGAGAGTTTTTGCCAGGATTCTTGGATTCGTTTACTGTTTGCACTTTGTAATTTGAAAATTAAAATGATGTTTCTCTGCAGCCATCTCTGCTTGCCATGGCTCTCCTTTGTTTTGAGGCTCAGGAACAATATGACCCTGAGCACACTAACAACATACAAGAAGCCATTAAAAGTGTGCAGAAGCTTCTAAATGTAAGTACACACTTGGTTTGCAATGTTTAATATTCTAATTAATTGAAAAACTAAGAAGGAAATGTTTAATTTATGTAGTTTGGCCTCAGTGATATGTGGAAATTGGTTTCCATTAAAATATGGAACATGCACTCTGTTCTGATGTCTGGTTAACTATTTATTTTTCCACTGTGCAGATAAGAGATGGGGACCTGGTTTGTGTGCGAGAGCTGGTTGGAAAATGCCTGGCTGAATATGCCACCACCAAGTGCTCCAGGCCCAACACCCAGAGGCTCCGCTGGACTATTTCAGGAAGAACTGCACGCCAGCTGAAGCACAGCTACTACAAGATTACTCATCTTCCAACCATACCCGAGTCAGCTTGTTAAATTCAGGGCTACGACTGGGTGGCCTAATGTGAGGATACAAATTACAGCAGTCCCTAAACTGTATTCATTCTCTGATTGGATATAAGTTTTGGTGACTTTCTCACAGTTTGGTCACCCACGTACACCTTGACTTATTTTCCTTACAGATCTTCATCACAGATGGTGGACCTCTTTAAGGAAATATTTATGTTCAGGTTTTTCCCCCAAGTTTGTGTTATACATTGATCAAGCAAACCAAATTTCTGCCCCAACGATAAAAAGTAATTCTCTGTCAGAAAGGTTAGCCTACTACCATCTTGCATAGTTTGACTTTCCTGGTTGAGTTGCTTGCACAAGTGTACAGTATGTTCTTGTTTAAATCCGTACCCAGGTGGTTGGTATTTCCTGGAACGGGTTGCTGGTTTAAAGCTAATAAGTATGGAACCACCTAGGTCCTCAGTCCACCATGTGGAAGAGGAGGGAGAAGGATTTTGTGAACAGCAAAAATGGAACCAAGAAATCGGGCCCAAAATCCTTAACTCCTACCCTAGGTTGCTAAACTGTCCTAATTGCACACTCCTACCCAAGGTGATTTTTTTTATTTTTTTATGGCGAGGGAACTCCGGTTTCTCCGGTGAAGTGAGGCTAGTGAAGCTAGTGAGCCATCATGTATGGTTAACAAAACTGTTGAAGGCTGTGAAGTCCTCCACAGTTAAAGATGAGTTGTTTTCACAGGTTCTTGATTTGTGTACACAGAGTGAAGCACCTCGTGTATTAATTGATTTCAGTTGTCAATTATGCAGAGAACTCTAGAAAAAAATGGTCATTGCAGTGGAAACATAGGTTGGAATTTGTTTTGAATTTTCTTTGCCAATTTCCCTGTCTAGTTTAAGTTTTTTTTTAAGAGGCAAAATAAAATGTGTTCTCAAATTGAAAATAGCAAATTGAATACACCATCTGGTTAACCCATGTACTTGTACCTTTCAATAAAACTTTATTGAAAAGCTATTGCTTTGCAGTCTTCTCATTATTGAAGCAAAACATTTCACAGGTTTCTTGAAAGGTGAATAATTCCAATGAACTAAAAAGATGTAAAGGCTCCTGTGACAGTGTCTCTCAGACAGTAAAATCTTGAATACCGCCCAATTTTCAGTTCGGAAGGCAAATATATTCTCAACTACTGACAGCAGCAAATCTGAAGAATTCACTTCTCTGCATGTCATGAAGCTGTCCTTAGGCAGAGCAGGTATCTCCAGCACTCAACATGGAATCTGTCACTTCTGTAAGCTGGAGAAGTCCGGACCACCACCTGCAAAATTCCCAGAGATCTCTGCACCGCTGAAGTCAAATCCAGGATTCTAGCAGAGAAGGAGTTAAATGAACACATTAGCAGGAGCTAGGTTGCTACAGAACAAGGTAATCATACATAGTAATTTTACAGTGCACTTCAATTTGATGGCATCTGAGAAATAATTTGTGACTTCCGTTCTGCAAACAAGCCGGTTAAAGAAATTAATGTAGGAACTGTTAATTGAGTTAACAACTGGCAGTACCACGTAAAACAAAAAAACTTGTCAGGTTCTGAGTTAATTAAAACCTTTGACTTTACTGGTTAGATTATTTGGCTAACATTTCTAGTATGGGCTGTTGATAACCATCGTTACAATCCATTAAGATCTCATCAACTCTTAAAATTGCATACTTGATATTTTTTATTTAATGTATTCTTACAATGTGACAAGAAAGACAGAGACAGTAACAATCCGCAAGGCAAACTATAAAGACAAGAAAGGCCTTTTTCACCATACGCCACAGGGCCTTGGCGGGGGTGACAGTTCCAACACTACAGAATATTATTATTGTCTAATATGCCTTGTCAACATAATTTTTTAGGCATGTTGTCCACTATCATAGTCACTGACAATCGATGCTGCACTCTCCATTGAAATGAAGTATAATATGTCCATAAACCAGGTATGTATAGCAGTGCACTTTGCACATTTTCTGAGTATTGTCTTCTTGAAAGACAAAAAAAAGTTAAAGCAACAATATATTGTGTAGCTCTTGGCTGTATATTTGCACAAGTCTGTATAAATGTTCTTACCAAGAAGACCAGTGTAAGTGCATAAGTGTGCAAGTCCCACCACAGCCATGGGCCCTGTGTAGTGCAGCGTCTTCATTTAGTTGATTATCTATCATTTGGAGAAGGATGCTGAACGTTGCAGTATTGTATCCCACTGCTCTGCACTGAGGGTGAGGGAATGTTACGTTCCCATTGTAGTTTGGTAGAGGCAGTGTTGATAGCAAACAATAGGTTAAGTAATTTATATATTTATATAACAAACTGTTCCCTCATCCAGCATTACCGTCCTACAATTCATAGCTTTCAGTGACGTCACCAGCACGGAGGGCTGGAGGGCAAAAAACGCTCAGGAAAGTAACGGCCACCGTTGAAAACAGTTCAGAACTGCAGCACGGGCTTTTAATTTAACATCTCCTATAAACAACGCGTTTACATCACCTGCAACCATAGCAAAACCAAGATAATAAGATAAACCTTGACTTTGGGGCACTTGCGATACTTTAACAACACACGGGAAACTATTTATATCGCTAGAAACGGCTAACGATTTTCTAGATCTGGGTATAATTTTTTTTCAGGACAGATCACAGCTGTAAATCCAGGCCAAATTTGATTTCTAACTCATGACATGGTTTAATATCTCTGCTCCTCAAGATTCGACCAATTTCACTGATTTTGTTTAATCCAAGGGCTTTTTGCCAGTGTGAGACCACCTGCAGTTAACACTGGGTTACAGCACCTTCCTAGCTAATAAATGCACAGTAGGTATCAGGTATGCACCTGATGACCTGTAATAACGGCTTGGCAACATACACCATGACCCTACAGATGGTACTTCATCAAACTGACCTCCCGCTGGAACCTTTCCAGAGTGAGCTTTCTCTGCATCTGGTCCTGGACCCAGGCATTTGCACAGTACTCTCCCTCCAGCAGGGACGACCAGCAGTTTCCTGCCTCTCTGTTTGTCTTCATCAATATGATCCGGATTAGACACTTGTCCTCTGAGCACAAAAAAAAGGTAAATAAGGTGAGATATGGTTGCTGTTGTTGTTTTTTTTCCACATTTGAGTTAAGCACATGTAAGTTAAAGGTTTGCAGCCTACCTAGTGTCCATGTGGCCTCGTCAGACATGGTTGTGTCAAACAATCTGCCCTGACAGAATGTTAAAAACAAAGAGATTGGGAGGTTATTTGTGTGTTTACATAGAAGCTTCAAATGTTCCCTAGTAAATAACTTCAGTCTAAGTGATAATAAAGATAGAGAGAGAATCTCTGACAGCACATTTTTCCTCTCAAATGATAACCTACATCCGAGGGCTGGGAAATATATCGAGTTTTTCAGATATATCGATATATCTTCAAACAAGATATAGGGTAAGACAATATCGTCAATATGGATATAGTTTATGTTGCATTAAAGTAATATTATAGAGGTGCCAGGTCTCCTTTTTCTCATCTCACTGATGATGACTGTCAGTCCCTCTTAACCCTGCTCCTCCTCTCTCTCTCTCTTTTATTGTATTTAAGGAACATTTTTAGTTTATAATATTACTTTTTAAATTCACAAACAGGTAGTTTATTTGTCCATGTGTTTTCACTGTTAATAAAATACATATCGCTACATATCGAGTATCGCCATTCAGCTAAACAATATCGAGATATGAGTTTTGTTCCATATCGTCCCAGCCCTACTACATCCTGTCAATATCAGGACATAATGTAACTCACTTTACCTCTAACCAGATGCAGTAACTCATAAATATGATACTACACATATGTTTGTACAGACTGTAAACATTTAAAAGTTTGGACTATGTGACTTCTGCTTAATCCAATTTTTGCTTACTACTGTGTAACTACTTTTACCCTATTCAAATACCTTAGTATACCACCACTAGCTCTGCTTCAATATGAAGAAAATCAAATCAAATCAAATCAAATCAAGTCTTATTTTGCATAATGTTGACAGCAAGAAGGGAAAAGTTGAAACATTCACTTAGGAAACGTACCTTGAACATTTCATTGCCTCTGACATGCAGCTCGATGTCTCTGGATCCCAAACGACACTTGACCTCTTTAGCAGAGGTCCCGTGGGGCACGTTGACTTCGATGAAAACCTCCTCCATAGTCTGGTACCAGGACCCCCACGGAGTCTTACAGGGGACGACCCCGCTCTTCTCCTCAAAGTGCACAGACATGCTGCGGCTTTTACACGGGCTCACAAGTTGGCTACCCCTGAGCCAAATGACTTATCCTAGATGTTGTGTTTCCTACGCTGTCTAACTTCACCACTCGAAAGTTATCAACTACTTTACAACACTGTTATGTTGGTAATGTGTCGTTCAATTGTTTGAGTGATTAGTTGTTATGTTTTTCTAGCGACATGTTGTTACGCCCTCCCACTCTCGAAATGTCTTCTTCTTCTTCTTCTCAGTAAATAGTTCAGTTCCGGTTTTGAACGACGTCGCGGCTGCAGCGCCATCTGCTGTCCAATCAATTTATAGCAACGTGAAAAGGCCTACGTGACAGAAGATTTTAGAGTTTGTTGTTTTAATGACTGTAGTGTAAAAATTGATCTGAAGCATTGACTCTATAGTTTATTTCTGTTTAAATGATCACACTTGGTGTTCGAGGGGGACACATAGAATCCATGGTTTGTCTAAAAATGGAGAGGATTTACTAATCTTTTAATTAGATTACCTTTGGCTCCTTAGTGCCTTCTGTTTCCTTATGCACACCTACCAGTCACTTAAATGACACCAACAAGGACCCGTTCCTCTATTATTTTACTCCCCTCACAAACCGATATGAGTGTCTCAGTAAGTTGACTTCAAACTAGGTGAAAAAAAATCACTGCCAAGGATGACTATTCTGCAATTAACTTTAGTTACTTTTATGTGCTGGATAAGGTAAGTCCTCTTTTTCAACTTGAATGTAAATTGGAGTACAGTGAACCTAGATATTTAATGCAATATCTTTTCTGCAGTCTTGGTCATGGCAATGGAAATGAAAAGATTTCCTCAGACAACATCACTCGCATTTTGGACAGACTTTTGGATGGGTATGACAACAGGCTGCGGCCAGGATCAGGAGGTAAGTCAACTTTCAAGTCCTTTGTTTCTCAACACTAATAAAACATTTAAGCATATTTTACTGAGATACAATCTTGTTGTATGGTGTACATTGCAGGTGGAGTGACGGAGGTGAAAACAGACATCTTTGTCACCAGCTTCGGACCTGTTTCAGATGTTGAGATGGTAAGAAGATTCTGCTGCAAAGAGATGTATATATGCTTCAGCGCTTCTGCCATGAGACCATCTAATGAGCTTTAATCTGTTTGACCAGCCTTATAACTCCATTATTGATGGTGTCTAAATCAATATGACAACACGTCAGACAGAGCAAACGGCTGAATGGATTGATTAATCTGAGATGAGTGGCATCCATCATTGCCTCGTCATCTCTCCTCACCTTCAACTGCAAGTTGTAACGGCTCTTTAGTATCATGCATGCTGATAAATGATGGAGATTGCATGTTTGGAGTGAAAAATATTGAAGGTTAAAGAAACTATTTAGGGTTTTATAAATCACAGAAATATAAAATGCTAATTTTACATTTATGTTTTGTCCATGCTTCAGGAGTTCACCATGGACATGTTCTTCCGTCAGATGTGGGTGGATGAGCGGCTAAAATTTGAGGGCCCAACTGAGATCCTCCGTCTGAACAACAAGATGGTGGATAAGATCTGGACCCCAGACACTTTCTTCCGCAATTCCAAGAAGTCCATTTCTCATAACACGACCACACCAAACAAACTCTTCCGCATCATGCAGAATGGGACAGTCCTCTACACCATGAGGTAGTCTTATATTCTACTTTTATTTTAAGTATAAAGTTCATATGCAAAGATGACTCAGGTTGGTTTCTGCATGCTTTCAGACTCACAATCAGTGCAGAGTGTCCAATGAGACTGATGGACTTCCCCATGGATGGCCACACCTGTCCTCTAAGATTTGGAAGCTGTAAGTATAACTAACTATTTTTGTCCTTGCTCATAAATGTGTCTAACCTTTGGGATTTATAAAAGTTTTTCCAAAAAAATCTTTCCATTTAGATGCCTACACAAGCAGTGAAATCATGTTTACTTGGAGGAAGGGGCCAATAGCATCCGTTGATTGTCCCGCAGAGTCCATAAGTCTTCTGCAATACGATCTGGTGCGGAACACTTTGTCCAGCGAGATATTCAGATCTAACACAGGTAACTGTATCTAAATTATAAGATAGATAGAAGTATTTGTAGAAGTTTAATCTTTATATTATAATCATGAGCTGAAATGAGTCCCAAACTCTGTTCAAGTGTCACTTACTCCCCCACAATGGATTCATATAAAAGGAAAGACTTCCTTGCCATCTTCTGTAAGATGCTTACGTGGTCAGGCCTTATGTTAATAAATGCTGTGTTATTTAAAAAGAGGTATCAGTGACAGAACCAAACAGTGACAGAAAGGAGGAGAGACGGAGGTGTTCCTGCAATGTGCAAGTGTGTGTATTTCTGTGTCTGTGTGGGTGCTGTATTTTTTTTAACCACAAGAAGCAGAAGTGCTCTCCTGCTCCAGATTCCTGGAATGGAGAGGAAAAGAATGAGGCAGACTCCGAAACTTAGAGATGATATCCATTAAGAAAACAGAGAGAGAGAGAGAGAGAGAGAGAGAACCTCTGCTACCGTGTGTGTGTGTGTGTGTGTGTGTGTGTGTGTGTGTGTGTGTGTGTGTGTGTGTGTGTGTGTGTGTGTGTGTGTGTGTGTGTGTGTGTGTGTGTGTGTGTGTGTGTGTGTGTGTGTGTATGCTTGCGTGCCTGTGTTTAGACAGAGCAGGGCAGTGTTACGCATTGTGACACTGCATGCTCTCCTCCTGCCCCCTCCACACTCGCTCCTTCCTCTTCACTTTATCCCATCTCCAAATGTCTGCTGTCCTCGCTCCTCCTTCCCTCCTCCTTTTTGTCCTTCCTCTCCTCCTTCCTCCTCTTCTCCGTCACATGATGTCTCTCGGTTAGTGGGCTATTCCAGTCCTCACAACAACAAAAAATATATTTTTGTCTCTCTCAGCAGCAATTCTGTTTCAAGGGCAGACAAGGGCATCTGTTTTTTTTGCCACCCTGCCGTGTCCCCCTCGGGGTTGCTCTCTTCACACATGCTATTTATCTTGCAGGTCACTACTCTGTGCAGGTGGTCTACTTCCACCTCCAGAGGAAGCTGGGTTACTACCTCATACAGACGTACATCCCTCTTATAATGGTGGTAGTGCTGTCTCAAGTCTCTTTTTGGATCAACAAAGAGTCTGTTCCTGCACGAACAGTCGCTGGTATTCCCATCTTACCACCAATGCTTATGCTTAATAATCATAGTTGATATTATTTTACACCTCAATGTGTCTTTCATGGTTTCCCTTCTTCCTCCAGGCATCACCACAGTGCTGACCATGACCACCTTAAGCATCAGCGCTCGTCAGTCACTTCCCAAAGTAGCTTATGCCACAGCCATGGACTGGTTTATTGCTGTGTGTTTTGCCTTTGTGGCGTCGGCTCTCATTGAGTTTGCAGCAGTGAACTACTTTGCAACCCTTCAGGCCCATAATCTAAAGAGGAAGAAAACAAGACAGGACAAGCCAGAAGTGTTGGCCAGAACCCCTGATGATGGTGAAACTGTTTCGGTGAGCCGTTGAATTTATGATGATAATCAAGGGAGAATGAGTGTTCACTGTCATCATTAAAACATGGTGATCATTTAATGAACTGTAGCAGATCTCAGAGCGCCTTTACAAAAGAATATACAAAATAACAGCTATTTTCCTTTCACTATTTTAACTCATATTTAGTATAACTACACAGAAAGGGAAACTTTTAAAAATGAAGATGGTGTACTTGTGTGTTGAAGCACTTAGGAACATTGTTTTCATCAGAATGTCTTTTTTTAATATTCATTTTTAACAATGGACCAATTTAAGCAAAATTCTGAAAACAGCATCCCAAGTTCGATCACATTTGACTGGCGTGTTGGTGACATATGCAAAACAAATATATGCTATATTTCATGCTCTGAAATATGGCACGTGGCATCATAAGTTAAGAGGTTTAAAAGGGCTTTAGAGTAGAACTGTTACAGTAATAATTTACGGAGCTGCTCTATGTTTAGGCTGTGATATCTGAGGAAAACAACGACATGAAAAATCGATGTTGCTAAATGCATTTTAAAGTTTATAGAAGTTAAACATCGTGGTAAATGTGCTCAATAACATTCTTGCCAATAGAGATGTGTGTAAGATGCATATAAAGCTACCACTGGCTTCTGTTGACTTAACTCCAGTAGTTTAAGCCAATAGTTTTACCTTTCTTTATGATTTGATGCTGAGATGATCTGACCAGCTGCCACCTTTAACAACATATTTAGCTGTATTGATAATTATGTCATATACTTGGCAACAAAGCAAATCATATTTATGAAAAGAAGTGTTTTTTTTTAAGGAAGAAGAAATGTCAGAAACTGTTCTCTTTTCTTACAATCCAGTTTTTTTTCACAAATGTGTTTGTAGTACATTCACAAGAAGTTTATTCAAAAAAAAAAAAAACATACAATCGTCTCTAGGTAAAAAGGCTTTTATCTACCGCCAAATCTGTTTCAAGAGGCATCAAATCTTTTCTAAAGTCATGCTTAGACTTGGAAAACGGATCCAATCACTATCACGCAGCACCCTGAATACATTTAGATACTGATGTGAATAGAGGCACAAAGTCTCCTTTCTGTTGCACAGTGAGCGTGATGCAGGGATGTTGATAATGTACAGGATGTCTGCAGCTCCAGACTCAGATGTAGAGAGAAAGAAATCATGCCACAGATGGGAGGTCTGTTTCAATGCATTTTCAAGCAGTCCCCTTGCCTTTCTCATTCTTTGCATTCAGGGCGCAGCACACATTAAATAGTAATATGTGCTGTTGTAGCGCTCTCATCCAGCTATATGCTTTATGCTAATACAGTAAGCCACCACAGCGTCCTCCTGGGATCTGTCTCACGTGTAGGGCTCATGGTTAGATGCTTTAAAAATAGCCTCACTGTGAGAACAGAGAACAACTCCAGCGCTCCTCTCTGCATAATCTCCTCATCATCCTGTGGGCATCTAGCAAACTACCTGCTGCATTCTGTAGGGATGTTGGCATGCCATTGAGAGAAAGCTCCCATGGGAATAAAACCTCACTTCCAGGCTTAAATACATGTTTACAGCATGTTCTTATCACCAAACATACATTCTAACAAGAAATTCCCCTTTTTTACGCAACCTACCATTTCTATCTCATTGAGCAGAAAGTCCACACCAACCCCATCTCACCTTTTCCCGCTTTTTCTCCAAACACCCCCAATCCCCCACTAGTCGGACAGCAGCCCTCAAGAAGGCCTGAAGAAGAGAAACCATTCAATGGCTCGCAGTGAGCTAGGAGATGCTCCTCAACTGCCCATCTTCCTCCAGCAAGGCTCAGCTTTTCCTCAAATCCCACAGCTGGCCGGCACCAGCCCCATCGACCAGTACTCCCGCATCCTCTTCCCCCTGGCGTTCGCCCTGTTCAATGGGTTCTACTGGTACATCTACCTGGCCAAGGACACCATGGAGCGGGCCAGGTACGTTCATCACAACTGTCTTTTTACAATTATTTCTCTTCCAGTAATGTTACAAGTCTGATGAGATTTCTCAACAAATCCACAAAACTGACAATGAAAAATCCTGCAACCACTATCCAGGCACCATAAAGACACACAAATGGGTATTCATCCGCACCTGGTAATATAGTCCCCAATGGAATGTTTGAATAATAAAAACTACAGTTTCCAGCTGTTAATGGACATTACTTTAATTTTTGATAGGACAAAATCATAGTTGAAAATGTATATAGAGCAGCAGAAATGAATCTGAAAGACATGCTCATTGGTTATCTTTATTGTTTCTTTTGTCTTATCGGTAAGAAATATTGTTTTTGATCACCACTGACTGAAGACATTAGAAACATTTAAAAAAAAAAAAAAAAAAAAAAGGCAGCAGGTAGCCAAGTGTCAAAATGAGACTGCAGGGCTCAAAGTACAATAAGGTGACGCTGAAGTCATGTAACCACTGCGTAGCTGGCTCATGGCCCAATTTCAGCTATTCTACTTCTGCTGATTGTGTTTATGCTTTGAAATCAAAACAATCATTACGAATCAAATTTCCAAATGTTTTTGTCTTTTAATGACGTGCAGTGCTGGGCTGGTCATGCAGCCCATGTAAACTTTAAGTTAGCAATCTTGGTTATAATGTAGAACAACATGGGCATTGTCCTTTAAATGTTCATCAACTGTAGCTAACGTTGATAACTACAATTAAGTGCTGACATTTCTACTTGTACTACCCCACTTATATAAAGCAATCTCTAAAACCTTATCAAGCGTGTGCAGTTATGACAGAATAATGATCTCTTCACATTGTTTCCTCTGTACATTGGCGGGCTAAAGAGAAAAACAAAGGTCACTTAAAAGGGACAAAAATACAATAATTATAAACAATATGCAAAAAAGAATTCTATTCTATCAAAAAAAAACATTTCTGTCTTTGCAAATCTTCAAATGTATTTATTTTCTTCTTATTTTTACACTACATGGCAAATTTTAGGTCTACCACGAGCCACTAACATAAACAAACATACTTCTAGTGTTATCACATCTTACAAGTAGGCTTTCCCTTTGGGGTTTGACCTTAAACCTTTTGAGTCTTGTGTGACTAGGCAGCAGATTCAAAAAGCCATTCATGCAAAAAAGTGAAAAAACTAGAGACACACTTGGAGGAAATCAAGACTTCTTTCAAAATGAGGTTGAAGGCAAAAAGAAATCAGATGATGGATCTTCATCACCTTTTGTCTGTTATGTTGGTCAAATACACACAGCCCTAAAAACCACTGGAGTCATTATATACACAAGTACTCAAGTCTCACGTTAGACAAAAAAAACAGTTTTCAACATTATCATATTGTAAAGAGGTTTAGTCCATTTAGTTGGAAAAACTTCATTAGATACAAAATTGTCTGAATAGTTTATAGTATTTTTGATTGCTTAGCTCAACCTCCTCTGCTGGCTTTATTTACTTCAAAACGGCCACAAACAGGACCACTAGAGGTGCAGCTAGGGGGGACTGCACAATCAGCCTCACATCAATAGGATTTAATCAGTCTGAGAGTCAACATCTTATCATTTATTTAAATAGAATTTAAAAACAAGTTACCCAACTGTAACTGTATCATGTCCTATGTTGCATATTATCTCTTCTCATTACTCAAATTGTATCGTATCTGTATTATTATTTGACTATCACACGTATGTTAATGTGTTATTTTCAATTATAAGATGCCAAAGAACATCTGGCAACGGGACTGCTGATGAAAATGAGCCCTTTGGCTAAATTGGTTACATTTACATCTCTCTGAATGTTACTTAATGTACGCTGTCCCTTTTAAAAAAAATGCAATAAATTAATAATGTATCTGTATCTGAAAGAAGAACAGACCTGTCTCACTCTGCTCTAATTATGAAAGCTTCTGTGGAACAATAACTACACACGCTCTTGTTTCCAAGGACTTTTATCTAGACAGAAAAGACATCAATACTTTCTAATGCTGAAACAGCCCAGGGAGTTGTTAGGTGGCGTTGTTTGTGCGTTGATGCCAGCACTGTGGCTTTTTAGCATCATCATAGGTTTACAATAGAAAAGGGGCCAGCTGTTCTGTTAACTTGAGAAGAAAATCGTGCATCAATCTCTCCCCTTTTATGTAAGGGTTTACCTGAGGGCTGGTAAAAAAAAAAAAACCCTGGTCGTTTTAATGACAACTCTGTTTCTCCACAGGGAGCAGGTCTCACAGGCAAAACAAACGAGAGCTTTCTTTGTACATTAAGCACATGAAAAAGCAGCGATTCTCTTCCCCGCTTATAAGCGAGCCACTTATAGAACACAAAGCTCCATGTCCAAGAAAGAGAGAGATCCAGTGCAGGAAGATGGAATAAGAAAGAGGGAGTTGGAGGAGAGAGAGATGTGTTATGTAACACCAGGGAGTGCAAATCTGCTCATCATGCTTCTCATGTTCCTGTCAGAGAATTTTTATGCTTGTTTTGTTTATAATGTTCTGCAGAATAATGAGAGAGACAAGATGGAGAGCGTGAGAACAGCTGCATCACATCTATTCCCATTGCATATATTTTTTGCCACATCTCCTGCTCTGTGCTCATGAAGAAGACACAGAGAGGAGAAGAAGAGTGAGCGCAGAAACGGTTTTGGCACCACAGAGTCTGTGAATGTGATTTTTTTTTTCTGGAGCCTCCTCTCACATTTTGTGCTCTGCTGTGTTGCAGGGATGTGGAGGTTCAAATCTAAAAGGACCTGGAAAAGGGCACGTGCAGCCGGAGAGACCTTCAGCATCCAGCCCGCCTCACCTCACCCTCCTCTCTCTCTTTCTCTTTCTCTCTCGCTCTATAGTGAACAAGCTCTCAGCAGTCACTCTGCTCTCATCCGACAGAGGAAATGAATCAGAAACTCATTTATTCTCCTGCCACACATCTATTCATTTCACAGGCTGTGACCACTGCCCACTTGTGTTCTGATCAGTAGCTGAAGAGCTGCCCTTCACGGGAGCATCAATCACTTTAAAACCCCGCCGAATACACACAACAAGAGACACACGACACACACATACAGTATAGCCTATGACACACACTTAAGACAAACACAGACCCAGAAACACATCAAAAAGAAGTGGATGATATAATCAATGATGGCTGTAACTGGTGGTGATGCAACAGTCAACCAATGCTTTCTGAAGCCTGCCCTCTACAGAAGCACAGCTCCCACTACAACAAGATCAAAGGCAATTTAGAGAAGGCTCGCATCCCTCCCCACAGCTTCAGGAATGTACTCAAACCTGAGAAAATGAATTGTGGGGATTGTGTTTTCCATCCCATCTTTCTTGCTTGGGCTCCCCGGTGCTCCCTTTTGCATTTTCATATCCACTGTAGGACCCCTGAAAACATTGCAGGGTAGAGAAGCAGTTAATTCTCGTGGGTTCTGAGGATTTAAATATTCTATTTTTGTACAGATGGTGCATGATTGTTGGCAAGAGATATCTGTTTATGCATAATGGTTGGATGCTCATTTTAGCCCTTTTACATGTCCAGTAGAATAAAAACTGAAGGTAAAAACTTGATGTTAACTTGACATTTTGGCCACTTTAACCCTTTCGTGCATCCTGATGTTTGACCTTGTCAGCACACACACAAACCCGTCTGTCATGTGGTAATTAGAATGGATAAAACAAGCTTCAAATAAACGCTGTTGTTGTTGTTTTCTCTCCTGGATTAAGCGTTTGATTCTTCATTACGCACATCCACTTGTCCCTTTAATATTTTTCTCTGCAATGGAAACTGCTCATCCACCATCATCAGTCTCCACTCTTTGATCTTGGGCTGGCTGCACGCATGCGCCTCTCATTGGCTCCTCTGCACCGTCTGGAGTAAGTTGGATGTGCGCTCTCCTCACATCGCCAGACCACCTCAAAAACTGTTGCGATGGGGAGGATCAGGAAAAACCACTTTGGGATTTTGACTTTTTCATTATTAGTGACTTTTGTCTGGACTCAAAGGTAAAAGCCTGTTTTCGGTATTTTTTTCCTCGCATGTCATTTAGCCGTGCCTCGAGTGTGTGATATTAATAAGCTCTTATGCATTACACCACCTTTTTTTCTCCCCAGCGTCAAGGATCTCAAAGATCCGAGCAATATGCCTCTGGTAAAAGAAACAGTGGACAGACTGATGAACGGATACGACATTCGGTTGAGGCCAGATTTTGGAGGTAACGAAGAAAAATTGAAAAACGGGAATGTCATGTTTTCACGCCCTCCTGACGTGCAATACATGTTTAATGAATCGCAAAATCTGCTTTAATTTACATAATCATCCCTTCACAGCCAAATAGGCCTTTCCAATTAGGCTCTGAGAAATGATGAGCATATTTCAGCTGATGAGGAGATGAGACAAGGCTTTTAATGTGATCGATCCTGCTCATCAATGTTTGATTATCCCGCTAAAATGATCAAATTAGCAGCATTTAAGCTCATGTTCGCGTTAAACACGAAGGTTTTTTCCGCTCAGGCTGATGATGCACAAGTCTCCTGTAGGTGGAGGAGAGCAACCTGAGCGAGCGCGTCACGAATTTGTTAAATTTACATGTTGGGAGATCTGTACATATATGTTGTATTAACACCTGGTTTCCTCCGCAGGTGCTCCGGTGGCGGTGGGGATGAATATAGACATAGCCAGTATAGACATGGTGTCTGAAGTCAACATGGTAGGTGCATCTTCATCATTATTACCCTGATATATTTTTCCAATTGTGCCTGGCATGGCTGGAATGATTCTGAAGGGGGGCTACTTAGCACGGGTCAGTGTGTAAGAGCGAGCTCGGGATAAAGTGAGCCAGGTTTGGGCGAACCGTGAATCCATTTTTCGTCTAGTGAAAAGAAAATTGGAAGGCTTCCATTGCCAAACACATCATCGCCATCCTCCTCTCAGTCTCCGCATTTGCAGCTCTGGTGTGATGCTGCTGCATTTGAATTCAAAACACACACTCACTGGCGCACTCGGACGCACAGTCCCGGCTGCGCGCGCGGAGAGCTGGATTCATGTGTTATTCGTGTTTGTGCGTGTGTGTGTGTGTGTGTGTGTGTGTGTGTGTGTGTGCGTGCGTGCGTGCGTGCCTGTGAGAGTGAGTGTGCGCGCGCGTGTGCGTGTGTGTGTGCTCCTCCTGACTGCTTCACGTTGTCAAGCCTCGGTGGTGTAATTTTGTTGACACGCACCCCCTCCTCTTCCTCCTCATCTTCCTCCTCTCTCTTCTTCATGCAGGTCCCTACAAAATGAATAAGTCAACCCTCGTCTTTTTCTTATTTTTCTTATTTTTTCTTCTTCTTCTTCGTCTTGTTCTTCTTCTTGTTCTTCTTCAAACTGGAATCATTTTGTGTTCATCATTTCTTTATTTCTAAGGCTTTAATTCGGCGTCCAATCCTAGCATCACAGGCTACGTAAATGATCTACACCCTACTTGTCAGATGACGTAAGCAGTTTTGTTAATAATAAATGTCTGGTCTCACAGCGTTGCAACCAATAGAAGAGGGGAAAAGGCTTGAATTTGGTACATGGATGTAAAGGTTTGTGCGACTTGGGGGAGGACAGGGGGAAAAGTTCAGCAGCCCACATGGAAGAGCACCACCGATTGATCCATGTGACAGGAAGACAGACAGTAAAGTAGAGCTCTACTGCATTACATCTACTCTCATGTGCTGTTCTGCTCGTGAAACTTTGGATGTAGTCAGACAAATATTAACCACAGCCATTGCAGAGAATCCAGAGTGTGAGAAAAGATCATTTACAAAGCAGCTTCTCCATGGAGCAACATAATAGAGCCTGTTATATAAGAGCCTGAAAACAAGTTTGCCAGTAGGAAATGGAAGTGGATGTGCTTTCTATTATTAATTGAGCCATTTTTAAGTCGATGTCAGGTTTGGCAGCCTGTCAAACGCGTGTGGGTCATTTTAAGCATCAGTCAATGAGTTTTCTGCACATGAACACAGGAGCGGATGCGAGTTTGCATTGGATGAGGAGCAGCACTGAATGGTCCGAGCTTTTCCTTTGATGGGAATTACTTATTTTGGTGGAGGATGCAGCCAGAACGGAAGTGCCTTGGGGGTCCGGGGAGATTTGAAATAGAAACCCCCCTCTCTCTCTTTTTACCTCTCATTTTCTCTCTCTCACTCTCTCCCTCCTCCATTCTTCCCTCCCACCACTTCAACTGGATCCCTGGCTGTGATTCTGGGCTCAGCAGCCATGTAATCCACCTCTGCCTTGCTCCAAAGGGTTATCTTACTTAAGAACTAGGCATCTATGCAAGCAGTCATCTGGAAAAAAAACACTGCTTCTTACATCGGTATGTGTGTGTATGTGTGTGTGAGTGTGTGTGAGTGTGTGTGAGTGTGTGTGAGTGTGTGTGTGAGTGTGTGTGTGTATAAAACCAAAACAAAACTGTGCACAAACAGTGAATGGCGGCTGACGTCATGCATCTCCCTGTGGCTATGAGCGAGCGTTCATTTGGTTTATTTCTAAGAAAAGCTCCTTCTGCCACATCTGCAAATGCAAGTTTAGACAAAAAGTAAAACAACAAATCTAAAAATTTACCCAAACCTCTTTTTTTGTTGTTACTTTGTGGAAAATCTTTCCAGAGACCTATATAGCAAAGTCAGATTATCCTCCTCTTCCTCCTTCATTCACGTCCAGCTGTCTTTGCTACATAAAAGACGAGATTGATCTGAGAGAAATCAATAATATCACCGTGCTGCGTGATCACAAGAATGGAGCTGGTGACCTGTGGAAGGGGGGCTGCTTTGATCGTCCTCATCAGGGGCAACCGCTTTTAAGATTAAAGTGCTGAGAGGGAAAAACAACAACAAGGGGAGAAGAGAGGATAAAGCTGAGTGAAGATGAGGGTGGTAGAGAGGTGAAGGTTACTCTGATCGGTTTCAACATCTCTAATGTTATTCACATCAGGACGGAACTTCTGCTGACCTTTTGTTCCCACAAGAGAGATTCAGCCATTGCTCTATTAACCCCTCACGTAAATGTCCCCTGTTGTTTTATTTAAGCGGATCCAAGTTTGGAAAAATCATCTTATTTCAAGCCCGTCCATTTCTCATATTGATTCTCTATTGGCCTGTTTTCCAGCTTTGACAAAGGGGAAGATTCAAAACCAAGATGGCCACTCGGCTGAAAGATCTCCTTGAAAAATGTGGAACATCTACCATCATTTAGAATAATCCTGAGGCCCGAGCAGTTTTGGCATGTGTTTGTGAAGGCTTTGGTTTTTTCAACTAGGCTCTACTCTACTCTTAATGTGAAGGGTTTATGTGAAGTTAGACAGAAATGTGAGAGAAAAATCAATAGTACATATAGCCCCCAAAATAAGTCACTGGTACCAAGTATTAAGATCCTCCAATTAAAGGCTGCAACTAATCTAGGAATTGTATGCTCAACAACTCTTTATTTTAAACAAATTTGATTTAACGCATGAAAAAATGTTACATTATAAATTCCATTGAGTCAAAGTTAATGTCTTGTTTTTCCCAAACAACCGCCTAAAAAGCTTGATTTTCTTAGGAAATAGGAAATCTGGGAAAAACACAGTAGAAGAGATAATTTGTCGCCATTTTGCTTCTCAATCATTAAAATGTTTATTCAGACTAAAAAAACAATATAAACAAAATAAGTGCTGAGTCAGTTTCATGCTGTTTAAACCTGGAGGACCTTCAGGTGCTGTTGAACATTAAAGAAGTGGTCACAGAAATGTATCTTTCGAGCAACAACTATCACACAGCCTTTGTTTACTCAGACACATTGATTCAGATCTTTTGACTTTACATTTTAAGTAGCTGTTGATGAACCTGCGGGTTTTCTGTCGATATCTGAATATTTTGTTTTGAATCCCACTAAGTTGGCTGGATTTTGCACCTGCAGTGTGTGATCCTTCAGGTAAATGTAGTATTTTTCTGTCAGAAGTGAACGAATTGGACTGGATTTGAAGTCAGTGTTTGTGAGCCGTCCGGCTGTCATGGTGGTAAGCATGTTTTTTGGTTGCAGACAGCTGCTCGCTCCTCTAATTAAAGACAGGAGGACTGCCTCTGGTGGAGAATGAACTCTGGGGTTTTGGTCCAGGCTGATTGAAGCCATTGTGGCATCTTTCTTCTGCTCAGACATGAAGGGCATGATGGTAGTTGAGGTGGCATTTGAGTACCTCTTAGTATTTGTAGTCTTCAGTTGTCTCTGTGTAATGTGCACATGTTTTAGGCATGTGTGTGTGCCATGGTGCAGTCTTTTTTTTTCATGCATTCTCCGTGTGATCTACAGTGATGGCCCGTTGAGGCTCAAAGGTCAGCCGTGTTGTCGGGCGATAAAAATGAGCAGGTCAGTCGGCAGCGTGGACGCCGCCTCGCCTGCATGACATTACAAATGTGCTATTTTGAGAGGGAAGTGTCCTCCGAGTCCGAAGTGTGACCACACATCCTTGCTGGGTGGGCTCTACTGACTCACAGGGGTTAGTGAAAAATATGCCACAGATATGATATCATGGCGGAGACCCTCAATTTCTCTCTGTTCATCACTCATCTCTCACTGAGCAGCTGAAAATGCATTTGCATATTGCTGTTTGTCCTGAAATCACAGATTCAGTAACTGAACTCTGGTTACGGTGCATTAAAAAGAGAGTTCTGCACGCACAGCCAGTGCAGCTGATTAAATACAAGTGGTGTGTGTTGTCTCAGTGATGCATCAGTGCTGCATAATAATATCCTCTACATGCATCCATATGATAAGCTGCACTCCAAGGCTGCAATGAGAAGGGAGGTAAATTAGTATTTTCTCTCCTTGTCTCTGCTTGTTAATTACATGTAAAACACCTGAAGTTGGTGGTTGTTAAGAGGCACTGCCTGTACTATAATACTGCTCTCTGAATGTTAATTAGCTGGCTGTGAATTAAAAGATTTAAACAAACCAGCTGCGCTGGCTTCTGGGATGGAGGAATTAGTGGGGCGTGAGCTTTCCCTTTATTACGATCATTATCCTGACAGGCGCTGGTTTCTTTACATGAGTAAGGGGATCTGGCCATCAGATGAGTAGGAGGGAGGGGGGAGGAGAAGGGGGGGTGGATGACCAGAAGGAACCTGGAGCATGCCCTCCTCGACGTCCTCCACATGTCCATGTGAGAGACGCGGTTCTTCTTGTGTCTGCAACCATTTTGATCTTGTTTGTCCAAACTGATCCTGTTCCATTTTATTTTGAGCTTGTGGAAAATAAGCTTGTGTTATTTTTACTCAGTGTTTCCATGACAACGCAGCCTTTTTCTTTTTCTTTTTTTTGTGGATCTGGGGAAGTCAAGGAAAAGCAAATAAGGCCTATTTTTTTCTAGACACTTTTTCTTCATTTATAATTCAGGTTATGGTTGTTTGTATTTAAAGAGAAGACATATTTTTATTTTGTTGATATTGTAGTTTTTTAATAAATGCTGATTATCCAAGGAATTACCAACATGTTGATGGTTAAACAGTGCTGAAACTAAGGATTATTGCACTGTTGAATTATGAATTATTTCTTTAATTTAAGGGGTTGATCTATGACTTTGTAAAATGGTCTAAAAAAGAATTAGTTTACCAGAGCAACATTCAAATTGCTTGTTTTGTCCAGCCAGCCACCAAAGATACCATGTTTAGAAAGATATATAAAAGAGCATACTGAAATATTCATACATTT